GGTTGTGGAACAACCGGGTATTTGTTTTTTGTTTTTTTTCGAGCTAATTCACCATCAACGAACTCTAGATATCACCAAGTGTAAAGAAAGAGAAGGGTTGTTGCGAACCCGAAAGCCTCGCGCCTGGTCTACTGGTTCAATACTGACACTCTATCTCTCTGCTCGCAAGTCATCACCTGTTTATCCAGCCGGGGAAATCTGACTACACCGACTGCTACACTGGTGGCCAGAGGCAGGTTGTGGGTAGGTTGGGGCACCGACTACACCCTAGGGGGGGAGGTTCACGGGGGTTGCAGCCCAAAGTGTGCAAGTTATCCCGCATCTCGGAGGGTGCCGTTATTCCAATCAACACGGTGGGCTGCAAGCCTGAAGAATAAACGGGTTCAAGGTCGACCTCGGCCTCCCAACCCCCCCCTCCTAGGTTGTGGTTGGTGCCCAACCTGCCCCTCCGGACACCAGTGCACTGCACACAGTGTGTTGGGATGACCTAGTTCCTAACTATATGGTACTCGACTGTTGAACTACACCCCATCCCATGAAGAATACCAGACACCACCGAGGATATAAGGCCTTCGTCCCATTTTCCGTTCCCCCATGTCGAAAAGAAAAGGGACGGGTGGGCAGGAAAATGACGCGCTACTCTCTGTGGCCACCTAAGTTGGCCAGAGGCGCTCCAATCCGTAGCCCTCTCTCTCCCGCGCTCTCAGAGGGTCAAGGACCTACGACTACAGTACGACGTACGCTTTACGCACTTTGCCGACAATGTTGTCCAGAAGGAGGGGGTGTATCATCTGGTCAATATGCGTTCTCCCCACCTCAAGTCTATAAGCAATTTCTCATACACGAACGCGACAATCCCCCACGAATGTGCAAGCTCAACCTGATAAATAAGTGAACCAACCATTTTCGTGCAGTCGGTCTATTTTATCATAACGTTTCGTTTGGCGCATGGGCTCAACAGTACCCAACAACGATGTCTTGGGGGCATGCCGGAGAATATGGGGCGAAGTTTACGTGCTGCCTGTGTTGACAACCTTTCGTAGGGCTGTCTACACCGATTCCTGGAAGCAAATACAGTTGGCGCCCGCAGTTAAGAAATATTTTGTTAAGAAATTGAGGCTCACTGTTTCACGAAAAATAAGAAAATAGGGTTAAGAAACATAGCTCAAACTGGGTCACACAATGAGAAATGTCTCAATAAGAAACACAGCGGCGACCGCTGCCCTAATACATAAGAAACGAGGGTTTACGGGGGAGTGTGTCGAATAAGAAACAAACGCCACAGCTATCTCGCTCTTTCCCCCTCTCCCCCTACCCCCCCCCCTCCCATAGTGCATTATTATTAGTTGTACGACGAGGGGGGAGTGTTTTTTTGGGCGGCGCCCCCTCCGGCCCCCTGCGGGCTCTGCCACGCTCTCTGCTGGCGCGAAGGCTTTGGCACAGCACACCAGACAGGCTGCGAACCACGACATGTTCGCCTCACGGAGCTTGCAACATAAATGACGGGGTAGTTTTCGTTGTTGGCACGTCAGCGTGCGGGTGAGGCATCATGCGGTGTTTTGTTTAGTTTCAGCCCTCACTCATGAGGGGGGTACAAGACCTTGTAGTGATAGCGAGACGATGCCGCTGGATACATTTCGCTTCTAGGGAGTGGCCTTACGTGCAGCCGTCGGTAGTGAGAATCGGGGTTGAGTACGGGAGTCGAGGAAAGCAGTGCAAATCATTTGTATATTTGGAACGTTGTGTAGTATGCAAGCAGAGACATAAGAAATTGCCCATTTAAGAAATTCAGCAGGATTTGGCTGCACGAAAAAATAAGAAACTTGATACAAGAAACTGAACGACATACGCTGAGTTTATAGCCCACAATAAGAATTCGAGGCTGGACCTGAAATAAGCGTTTCTTAACTGCGGGCGCCAACTGTAGACATGTCGCGAAGGTATTGGGGACAGCGATGCTTTGGGGTCCGAAGACCTGCCACGCCATGGGACAAATGGTATTTTCGTGCAAGCTCCACGGACACAATATCGTCGAGCACACCTTGACGTGGTACAGGACATTGATTGGAAGGAGACGGGGCTCTGCGGCCGAACAATATCAACTCCCTACCCGAAGTGTGCCCGCGTCGAAGCACCGCGAGGAAGACCTGGGCATCCACTTCAAAGACGAGAAGAATGAACCCACTACAACCAGTCCAATGTTTCAAACCAGCCGTCAATCCGCCTGAAATTTTCCCTGACGCGATTCACGACCAAACCGACAGTCAGTGCAGGTATGGAACTACAAAGGGACTCCCGACGCCAGACAACGATCATGACGTGATCCGAAGAGGCCTCCGCCTTCGACACGCCAGCAGCAACAACACTATCAAGCGTATAGGCGAAAACAAGACCGCTATTCGCCATCTAGTGAATAATGTACCATTTATATGACATGTGAATAGAGAGGATCGTCCTCGACAGACGTTGGGGAGATTGTACCTTTATGAAGGTGGTCTCCCCATTACCCCCCCTTTTTCGAGAATTCTTCTTGTTTGGTAGGCAAGAGAAGTCTTCTAGGGGTGACCGGAATCCGACCGGCTGGTGGCGTGACGATTCATTTTTCTTCACAATCCTCTGGGCGTGATTACACGGGTTCGCTATGTCCGCCACCTCTTCATCAGAAGTTCCGAGTTCGATAGCCAGTGCTCCCTTCTTTGGCCCACCCACCGTTTTATTTTTCCTTTGTCCGGAAGAAAAATTGGTGAGCAACGGGTTTTGAACCCACCCGTGTCTTTTTGCAACCAACAGTAGACACTCTGACATCTCGGTCGACGCCATCGCAAAAAGAGAGAATCGTCCTCGACAGACGTTGTGGCGAGATTGTACCTTTCTTTGTGAAGGTGGTCTCCACATTCATCCTTCATTCGTTCTGATGATCCTCCCATGTAGAGCCCATTTTGAGAGCACCTCCCTCTTCGCAAGAAATCTCCCCCCCCCACACACACACACCGCCCCCACCGCCCCCCCTGGTGTTTGCCATCGGGGTTGGGTTTTCGTCGCTTGGCAGCGATGTTGTAAAACAAGCCGATCACTTCGTGAGCTCGGCAACCAGGTTACCGCTTTTTTTTTTTGCCTTTGGTTTTATTTTTTTGCGGTAACCATGAATGGTGGTCGAGTAGCTTATGTTGTGCGGGGCCGAGAACCCTCACTCTGCGCAAAGGGGATGATCGCACCACGTTGTGTGAAAATTGTCAAGCATCCTCTAGGCAGTTACACAGCGCTTCCAACTGTCTCTGGAAGTGAAAGCACCAGAAAATAAATTAAGTCATACGCAGCTGTCATCCGTAAGCAAGGAAGTAAGCACAAGATGCCGAACACCCTTAGCAGGATGCAGCGCACCCTTCATACGACTCGCCGAATACCTCACGGCGCTTCGCGCTTGGTGATGTGAGAGCCTGATCCGGTGAGAACCCGGCGTGCTCCGTCCCGGCTTTGTAGGGATGCGAGGTCAATGGTCTAACGACTATACGGCATGCACGACTATGAGTACCCCCCCCCCCCCCCCCCCCACACACACACTCTTTCACCTGTTTTTTTGCTGCTCTCAGGAGCCTATATTTTGTTCCTTCCACGCAGACGGGGAAAAAAGTGTCCCGTCAGACCTACCACGTTGTTGTTGGAACTTAAGCACTTCGCGTTTGAATTCCGAACAAATTATTAGGAAAAATTCATATAAACACAGAAAGACTCTACCCATTCGAGATGTAACCACAGTCCAACGGGATTTGTTGGAGTGAATAATTAAATGTGGTAGGCTTGTGGGTGTTAAGGTTCAGCGATGACGCGACAAAACGCAAGACCGACAGGAATGAGTGTCCTCGACGCTCCGACAGCATTGCGCCATCACGAGATGGCTCCCTCATGATGATTCAAAAGAGACTCCGAGTTTTTCAGGAGTATTTCCATACGCAAAGCGATCACGTCTTCAATATTTACTGTATGTATTAGTGTTCATGCACGTGCGTGGGTTGCGGTATGTGGCCGATCTTGTCCTCACCTCGTGTGGAAAAATTGTGAGGAAGAATCAATCCCCCTTCTTCGTGTGACGGCGCCGAGATTCGAGCCAATGTCCCAAACGCCAGACGGTCGCGAGGTTGCGTGTACTGAACTATTCAACCACTGCTGTTGTGTGTGATCAAGCTATGGATGAACTAGAGGGAAAATTTGACCTTCCGGGTACCTTGCTGCTTCCTGCTCTGTTGGTTGGTGGTGCGTTGAGGTCAAGTCGGCGCTTCAGGTGCAACATCCTCTGCTAATTTACGCTCTACTTACTGAAAATGAAGTCTACCGCTCGTTGCAGGCTATAGGACGATCAAAGCCCGTCCTTCATGTCTCTGATCGAACAGAAGGAAGCCTGATTTATTTCTGGAAGCTTTCAAAACGACAAGCTTTATTAGGACGAAGCTCTTACGATCGCCAAGGTTAGTCCCGTTCGAGTGTTGTCACCGTCTCTCCAACACTAATTCTGAAGAATGAAATCCCTTTTTCAATTAAGGAAAAATAAATACACGCACAAAAAGACTAGTTACCCATTCGAGATATTCCCACAGTCAATTGTGACCGCCACGGGGGCTTGTTTCTATTTCTTCTTTATGCATAGGTTCAATAATCCAGAGACGACGTTGTCACTCCGGCCCGCCTAAATGCCTTTCCACACGCAAAAAAACCGTCTATATCGATCAATCCATTCAATCCATTTGCTGATCACATAATAATCTGTTTGACTCCCCTCCGGTATACAACATAGGTATACCTCTACAACCAAGGACGGTTCCAAGAACCGCGCGAACGGGCACCTTTTTTCTCAACCGGCGCGTTGCCCGCGTTTTTGCCCGTTTTTACCCGCCGCTTGGCCGAGATGGGAGCTGACACCACAGATGTACAGCAATAGTCTAGAGCAGCCTCGCTTGTTCGGAGAGGGAGGAGGGCTCCCAGGGCCCGCAGAAGAAGCAGCAGCCATGGCCCCATCTCAAAGCTCCGAGGTGCGGAGGGCTGTCAGCTGGCTTGACTGCGGGGAATGGAATGGACAGCACAGCTACACTGGCCTACCGCCCTTGACTGCATGTGGTTCTCTCTACCGTTGGATGCGGAGAGGCGCCCCGTTTGCAGCCGTCTTTCTGCTTGGCACGGGGCTGTCCATACATGGTCTCGTATCACAACAGCAGCAACGGCAAGAGCAGCAGCAGCAGCATTTTCTGCATCAACATCAGGAGCAGCAGCAGCATCCGCAGCAGCAGCAGCTGCTGCTGCTGCAGTCTCGTGCCACCGCTCGAACGCAAATCAGCACCCCTGCGTCACTTGCTGAACCCAATATCACGGTGTCGAATACGTACTCCGCTAGGGACAACTTTCCTGTCGATCAGCTTTACCCATGGACGCACTTGGCGGAGCCATACAAGAAATCCCTTCTGGCCATCGATGCAGGGCAGGACGACTACGAAGCATGCGCGAGGTGAGACCGAGCTTCATGGTTGATTGTAGCTGGTGGTTGGATCGGGGGTTGGCTTTTTGACTGCGTCAAATTATTTGTTTCACACAGCGACACAATACTGTGTACTATAGAGCCTACACAGCTTTGCTGTACGCTCTGTACTTCTCTTGGGATATATTTATGCAGAGCTGGTGTTCCTATTTTGCTGTCTACAAGGTGTGTCCGCCAGACAGCGGGCTCCTGCTGCTGTCTATCTTTTGTCTAGAGGCCTGTGTTCCTCCGGCGACCGCCAGGTTCCGCAGGTTCAGTAAAAGATCCAGAATTATTCATGCGTCGAAAACAATAATCCGTGACGAAAAAAGCCCAAGGGCAAACGTTCCAAATTTACTGTACATAAATAGGTCCAAGACTGACTCCTGCAGTCTCCGAATCTAACAAGACTTCGTGCCATTTTCTGGTTCTCGGCGCGGCCATGTGCTCTTGAACATGGACCGACCTCTTTTTGCACGCATCTGGAAAAAAGTGCTTGGCTTTCAGAATCGGGTCACGCTGGGATTGATTTTGGTGATTCTGGTAAGGTATTCTGGTACAGCGACACCCTCCTGTACACTGGTGTCCATTGTTCTGATGACGGTCATCGACCAAAACATACAGCGATATCTCCCCTGTGGGTAACAGACTGAACAAGACAGAGCGAACGTGTGTTTTTACACAGGGGAGATTACCGCTGTGTGCTGCTCGAGAAATGGTAGATTCCGCTGACGTATGTATGAATTCATTGCTGATCTGAGGCACGGAAACTGAAGTTGGAGTCGAGAACAGGCCAAAAAGATCTACCGCCCCTCGGGGAAAACCTGCTATTTTGCCTTTAGTTGTCCGGTAATTCCTCCCCACTGGCACTGGCTGTAGGGACAACTGTGACAAAGTTATCACGAGATGTATGCATGGTACGCGTTATGGCCTTATGTGGTAGTCTAGTTGATAAAAGCCCGGAAAGCATGGAGTTGTAGATATGTTGTAGAAGAAGAATCAAGAACTTGCTAAAAAAAGATCTACCGCCTCAGGGTTGTGAAAAAGTTATCCCGCACACTATTCTTGTGGTAATTGACCACCGCGGTCAACGGAAGGGAAATGGCCGGTTTCCCTCCATCCACTGCTGTATACTCCAACACATCCCCTTCGACTGTGGTCAGCAGCAGTATCTCGAACGGGTAGTCTAGTCTTTCTGTGTTTTTATGTTTTTCCAAGAAGTGGCGGACGTACTCTTCGTGACGAAATAATGCCAAAATAAGTGAAACGAGGGTGCCAGCACAGCGCACCCAGCAAGCCAGACAACCGGCGCTTCGTCCGATTCCTCGGTGTTTTCTCTTTTCAATTTGTTTGTTGTTGTGCGGTATTCTGATTGCCCGGCGGGGTGTGTGAACTCCATCAAGCATCTGCCTCTGTTTGCCCAATCTCCATCAAATTCGAAGCAAAAAAACCAAGCGTCCTTGGCGTGAGGCGGAATTGTTCGGTGCAGTAGCATTCCGGCTGCGCAACAGCTGCAACATGTCTGCGGCCTCGGTTTCTTCTGGATCGGCGAGCAATGGAACACCACGCTCAATTTCCTGCCCCGTGCTCGGCGTTATGACATGTCATTCATTGTCTGGAGACCCCGCCGCGTTTCTATCTTACATGCGCCGCTCCTTCTGGTGCTGGTGCCGTTGTGGCGCTCATTGCGCCTCTTTAATGTATACGTAGGTGGGAGGTGGACGGCGTTGAGCTGGGAACAGGTCCTTCTGTCGAGACGGTTTTCCGGTCACCAGGGATCTTCCCGGTGAGCGACCGCTTGGACCAACGTGTCACGCCTTACAACCAACATTTTCATACGAAGGCCGTTTTTTGGAGCCTCGAAAAGTGCTTGACTTACCTCCCTGTCTCCGTAAACGTGGGGTTTTTACCCCGGGTTCTCCCTTGAAGAGCACAACAGATGAGTCCCGCGTGTGTTGGTCGGGACTCCAAGGAGCGCGCGCATGTGATGGTTCTCTGCCTTACAAGGTGGACAGCTTAGTAAAAGGGCATTGCAAACTCTACTGCTGTTGCTGGACCCGTTGGGTGTTGGCGCGCCGATGGTGGTTGGTTCGTGTTCTGCCTGGTCTTCCACACGCTATTTTCTACGACGGTTCTTCCGCTACTTTAGTGCGCCTTGAACCTGCCCTGTCTGATCCTCTTCCTAGAAAGTTAATGACTCAGCCCGATAAAGACGCACGTACGTTACCAAAAGGCCGGTCGATGTTCCTATCTACCTACCGCGCCGTGCACGTCGACTCCCTCGGTCTCCCACCCGCTCGCCATCATCCTCAGATGTGTGTTTTCCGTCGTCGTTTCCTGATCGGCCACCATGTGAACCCCTTTCACAGACCCACGCCCTCGACCTTAGCACGTCTGCTGTCGTTCTGATTGTTCTCCCTCCACGTTTTCCTTCGTTTCTTCGCTCTGCATATATCGCGACACGACGACAGTGCACCGTCACCGTGTCCTACCCCCAGCGCCCCCTGTCTGGAGGGCACGAGGACGACTCCCCCGAAACCTCTGGGTCGCTCGCCACCGTGACCCACAAGTTCGAGGTGACGGTGAAGTACGTCCGGCGGGAGATTCGTGACCTGACGGACCGGGACCGGGAGACATTCTTCAATGCGGTGTCGGTGCTGCAGCGTGTGCCCAGCGCCGTCGGGCGCGAGATCTACGGGGACAAGTACTACAGCAAGGACTACTTCAACCGGCTGCATCTTTTCTACGGTGGGTGGTGCCGTGACGCTTGAGAGCTAGCTCTGCGGTCGGTCCGAGTGTTGCACCCGCTCTTGCAGTGGTACTGGGCCCCTTCTCGCGGGGGTGCGACGCTGCGAGTACTACTGTAAGCTACCGTATAATATTGCAACCGTACTGGATCACTCCGCCCCCAAATTTGTGACCCCTAGATTAGCGTTATTTGGTCGGGCTGTAACGCGTCGGAATACTTTATCAACTCTCGGACGTGGGAATGTTTCTAGGGTTACGGCAAGGGCAACGTCAAGGGCAACCGCCGGTTTAACCGCACATGGGACGTGGTGACCGTCCTCCCTCCCCACCCCGTTAGAGAGAAAATACCAAACTACGATTCACCAACCCTCCCATCCGCCCGCCGTTTAAAATACTCCGGCCTACTCAGGCGGGCACAAGGACTGCGACCACTGGCACGACGGGGCTGGTTTTGTCACGTCCCACATCGCCCTCTCTCTCATGTACGAGCAGGCCTTGCAGTCCGTCAGCCCGTCGATCGCGCTCCCCTACTGGGACTTCACCATCGAGGGCATGCTATACGACTGGAGAGACTTCCGAACGAGCAGCGTCTTCTCGGACGATTGGTTTGGCAAGGCGTCTCCTCGCAACGTGAGGGGGGAAAAGACCATGGTGTAGGTTTGACGCATTGACGCCAGCGTATCAGGCCACAGGCCGGACACATTTTCCTTTCCCGAACCCCGTTAAATGTCTTCCGCAAACATCATGCCGTTCACCCCAGCTCAACCCAAACTCTGTTGCGAGTAGTCCGAGAGGCCGCCTCGTCTGCCTCTCTCCGCACATGAAAGCCGCCTTCTCTTGTCTTCCTTCCCTCTTCATTCTTCTTATGCTCTCGTAGGGCCTGACTTCGGGAAACTAGCCCCCCCACCCGCTCTCAACCGAACTTCTTCTACTACAACGCGCTTCCGTGTTCAGTTGCTCCGACTGAAACCTTGCAATTTTCAAGTGTGTTTTGAGACAATCCCTACGTACCCCCCTCCCCCGTAAACGGCATACCACGCTTTAGGTGCTGATGACGCCTAGCAGGGGGCGTTTCGGTTTTGTTCCCGTCATGGCGAACGCCACCGAGTATTCGACGTTGCACAACCCGTACGGGTTGCTGCGGTCCCCGTGGAACACCCACCCGGAGCCCTTCCTGACGCGTCACGACCGCCTGTTCGGGTACAAGAACAACCGCAAGCCGTCCGGGTGCAAGCAGTACCGAGACGCGGCAAGGAAGGATACTTGGTGAGAGCCCTTCGGGTTGCGGCCGTCGCTGCCGTAGCCACAGCAATACAAGAGCGAAGTATGAACACAGAGCGGACTCGCAGTTAAGAAACATTTCGATAAGGAACAGAGGCTCGAACTTTTGCGAACAAGAAGAAATAGGGTTAGTTGAGAAACACAGGTCAGTGGTGGACCCTGGACTAACCTCGACGTCACAACCTATGCTCGACGGTGGCGAGAAATAAGAAACTGAGCCTCGACTGGATTTTGACGTTTCTTCTCTCCGGGCCCGATCTGTAGTACGCACCTTCCTTCGCCCGATCCTTCCCCCCGCCTTCGGCGTGAGAACGTTCGTGTTCTGCGCGTGGAAGTAGCCACCGCCGGCGGATCATCGCTTGTTCACGGGGGCGTTGTGTCGAGATCCCTCGGTGTGAGTCTCTTCGACATCACGCAGGTGGACTGGGCGGCGGTCGCTGCCGGTGCTGTTCGTGTAACTGACGATACGTTGACGCTGCTGATGCGGCTGCCGATGTGGTGCTTGGGTGTTCGTGCTGCCTTCACGATCTTCGCTTTCGCAACCTGTGTCCTTGTCGTCGTCGTCATCGCCCTGACCTCGCCCACGGAACCAGAGAATGCACCATTTTCGATACACACTTTCGGGCGTTCTTTGTGGCTCCCGCCCACGCATGGTTCCCCTGTCAACACTGTGCTGACAAACAACGCCGGCTCCCTTCGCCTGCGCAGGATGTTGCTGACCGAGTCGATGAACGCCGGAGCACACGGGCACATCCACGAGCTCCTCGGCGGAGCGTGGTCCTCGGACTGGTCCGGCTTTTACAACAGGACCGAGAAGATCATCCTCCCGTTCGCGCACACGATTGTGGTGAGCACGTGGCTTGTTGCGCGCGTTGCGCGCGGCGAACCTGTTGTTGTTGTTGTTGTTGTTGTTGTTGTTGTTGTTATGGTTGTCGGTGTTGGTGTCGTTGTTATGGTTGTTGTTGTTGTTGTTGTTGTTGTTGTTATGGTTGTCGGTGTTGGTGTCGCTTCTCTCTTGCGGTGGTGCTGCCCTGTCGTCCGTAACGATTCGGCCATGAGACCGGCTCAGACGAATCGGCCACAATCAGAGCGAACAGCATTTCCCGACAACAGTTTTGGGTTGTTCAAGCAAAGTGCGGTGGTAGCATGTCACGCTTGTTGCATTCCTCCGTGTGTGTGCAGTTTGAGGTAAAACGTTTTCCCGTCGCCACCCCTCCTCACCGCTTGTCACGTATCATCGACCCGAGCTCACAGGAGCGTCAAACCAACTATCAAAGTGCTGCTTTCTGAAGCGCTCCCCTTGTGTTAAAGGTCCTGAGGCATGAACGTCCGCCGCCCGCCACTTCCGCCTCCCCTCGGTATTTATTTCCCGTCCCTGTCTTCACCAATCCCAGCCACTGATGAAATATCTTTGGAGAACGGAGTACCTGCAGTGCGAGACGACGTGCGACTTCAGCGTCTCGTGGGCGGACTGCAGGTGCACCCTCAGCGCCGAAGCGGTGGCGGGGCAAACACCATCAGAGGTAAGCGCTCGGGCCTCCCTGAGTTCGTCAACAGTGCTCTTGTATTCGCGGCAGGAAGGTCGAGCCCGGAGAGTACGGCATTCGCGTTTTTTTCAGGCTCGGTGTTCTGTTCGGATTGCGAACACAATTCTTACGTTTCGCCACCTCTAGCGCACTTACACGGTTGTTCGAGTCCGAGCCAACGGCTGTTTGTTGCCCGTTTGATCGCACGAAACGAAGAGGAACAGAAAACCCAATATGTTGGCCTGACCTTCCCGATGCGACTGGCTCTGCAAGTTAGCACAACAAGCACTTTACCCGCGATCAAGCACGGCACCGTCGAGATTGTTGAGCACGTCTCCACACGTCCCACATCTGCGGGGGCCAGCAAAGCCGCACCAGGGCGCTGAATCTTCATTCTTCTTACACACTTTCCTCGTCACTCTGTAGAGAAGCTCTGGGTCGGGCTTTCGCGGTGTTAGAAACTGGTCAGGCATCACGCTTGCTCCAGAAGATGTTGGAGTTTCAATGCTTTGTCTTTCCTCCAACTTTGCCACAGACACACTCCGTACTACAGGATTTTGCGCTTTTTTGTACATTTACGTGCGTTGGTGTGGAATGTAGTGTAAAGTTTCTTCACAGACGAGCCATCACAGGTGCTCCACACTGCTCAGGGTCGCGCGTGGCAGGCCCCGACAGGAAACAACAACGTTTGTCAATGTTTTGTCAGGTGTTGGAGAGTTCCGGCGTGCTTTCCGACGCGGCCGGTGCGTTCTTCTACGACGAGGACCTGAAGCTCGTCGACAACCTCACGGACGAACAGGTATGGTTTCTGTGTCTTCATTCGTTCGTTTCATTTGCGGTCGGGCATGGGACCCCGAGAGTGGTGGTTTGCACGTGGGTGAGGGGAAGGCTGGGCTCGATAGCCGCCGAAACACAAGCACTCAGGCAGCACGACCGACGCGCGCACCGTCCGGGGCACATGCACACATCCCTTTGTCTTCTGCGCCGTTTGTCCTGTAGCCGCGGAGTCGCCTCGCACTAGCAAGACCCCCCCCTCTGGAATTGTTCTAAACCGGCGACGACAAGGGCAAAGGTCTGAATTACATCTTGATTATGCTTGACCTTTTATTTCCCATGGCTGTTCCCCGTGCCTTCGCACGGCAACGTGCAGGGTCACGCGCACGACCGAATCCCGGGCTACACGGCTGACGAGACGAAGGGCATCTTCACCGAGATGCTCCGGCTGCTCAGCACCCCGATGCGCATAGGCAGCCACTACGAAGGGACGAGCACGAATGACGTCACGTTCTGGGTGTTGCACCCGACAATGGACAGGTATGCACACGAGTCGCGTCGATGTAACCTCGAGCTCCTTTTCTCTTTCAAACGCGTGTTCACGCCGCTGTAGGTGGTTTAACATTTTGTTTGATTCCTGTGCTCATAGCATGTATTTTCGACTGTTCAAGAAGGCGTTGTTGGGCCTGGAAATGGCAAGTGTGGTGGGTATGGCAAGACTTTGTTTTCGTCAGAAGCCATAAATGTTTCCACTCTCTTGAGTTCCTGCAATACCTCGTGCAGTGGTACATCTTATCCTCCTCCTGTGACGTAGAACATGATGCGTGAACCCCCAAATCGGGTACTTCGTGAGGATGTCGTGAAGCGTCGTATCTCATCTTCTCAGAAAAATCGCGAGGGACGCGCACGTCAATGACTTCCTGCCCTCCGCCCCCGACCTTTCCCCGCTTGCCCCCTTTTCTCCCGCCCAGGCTTTGGCACCTGAATAGGCTGGAAGACGTGAACGGCGAGGGTTTCGACGAGACCTGGAGGGATGACCACTTCTGCTACGGCCACAACCCGGCCGACGTCCAGCCCTTCCACGACCTATTCCTGGGACAGGCCACAGGAAAGGGCGGCCACGACCAACAACGAAGAGCAATGCGAGACGAGAGGGATGCGGCGAAAGAGAGTGGTGGAGAGGAACAAGCTGCCGGGGCAGGGACGTCTGGAGGAAGCAGCGGCTGCGGCAGCATCGCACCGCCCAAGGCGTACTACACCAACCAGATGCTGTACGAGCTGCTCAAGCCGGACGGCATGTCCATCCCGTACATGTATGCCCATTTCGAGTGGCCCCACTGCGATGTGAGTGTGATGTATTATTGCTCTCCCGTGTCATATCGTATGTCGTTACCTGGCATCTCTAATCATATTCCAAGTTGGGATCCCACAATCGCATGCCAATCTATATAGGTCGTCCCCGTCGATACTGGGCTAAGCGATGAAGCTAATCTTATTCTACTCTCCCACAGTTCAAGGGAAAGCCGAGATTTGCTTGCTGATTGCGGGCGTTGGGGTGTTGGTCCCACTATGTATTGGGATCGTCATTCGTTCCTTCTTGTGTACCAGAGAACGTACCGCAAGGAGAGAATCCTTTATATATTTTTTTCTGCGCCCTCCGTGACCCTCGCGACCCGCTTCAGTTTGTTTTGAGCACCCGCGGCCTGCCTTGTCGCCGTCGCGCACACACATGTGTCCAACGGTTCCTCACCCCGCCCCGCCCTTCGTGTACCTCTCGTGCTGGTTCTTCGGATTCTCGTTTGTTGTGGTAATCAGGTGCGTGGGGTACACTTGCGGGGGCGTGAGCCTCGACGCTAGCTCCTCTGAGGACATGCGTGACTCACAGGCTCTTCAGAGTGCTTCCTGGAATCAGCACCCCCCCGCCTCCCATTCGACCTGCTGCGTGTGTCGACTCCCCCGAAGCTGCAGCTTTGATCGTGACGAAGGTTTCCAGAGACTTCCTCCCTACGGTAACAAGGTGCGACGCTCCTGGTGGAGACAACGTTCCGTCGCGCGGGGGCGTTTCCATTTATTTCGGTCGGGGCGTGAAAGCTAAGCAATACCCCCGTCTCCGTCAAAGAACTGCTGACTGAGTGAATGGCACGTTAAGTACGGTCGGGAAGGTCCCTGGTGTGGGTGAATGCTGATGCGTTTTGTCGTACTGACAGATGGGTTGCTCTTGCTCCTCTTTTTTCTGTACAGGGCTGGTCGAACCGCCCGATTTTGCTGCTGGTCTGTCGTATCGTCGTCCGGTAGCATCGGGGAGGGAGGGGAAGGAGGCATCTGTACACCGTTTTGTAGCGTGGCGCAAAGAACGACGTTTCTGAACCTCGCTAGTTCTGACCTTTTGTGCTACTGCTGCCATATGGTCTTGTAGCATCACCCCACCGTCGTGGTTTGCGTTGAAACCCTGCAGGTTTGGCTTGGTAGTTTCATTGAAAAGGGTGCTGCCTTTTGTCGTTGGTGACGGCGGTGGAGAGCGGTACTGAACGACCGTGATATCATTCAGTGCGCCGCGCGCCAGCGAACTGTCGCTTGCTTCCTCGTGGAAGTACCTGTCTTGATTTAGCAGGCCCTGTGTGCTTCATATTATTTAATCTTCGAGTGCGGTGAAATATTCGTGTTAGTTGCGTGTCTATGAAAACGAGGTTGCGGGTCGGCAAAAACGTGTGCTGTGGACGCAAAGTCCGATTGTCTTTGGTGAATTCAGCGTGCCTGTGCTCTACGGTATGATGTAATGCATGTGTTGAATGCCTCAAACAGCTTGGCATCTGTTGGTTGCAGTCCTGTGAAGCGTTGTCTTTTCCTTTAAATTTTGGTGGTCCTCTTGTGTTTCTGTCCTCCACGGAGAAACACTTAACCTTTGGTTGTGTTCTACTTCGACGTAAATATGATGTATGTTTGATGTTTTCCTTAGTCCATTTTTAGGCGGAAACATTGCCTTGGGTTTTCTTAGTGAAAAAGTATTCTGGAGCCTTTTCCTCCGGTCAACTTCAAGCCCCGAGGTTCATTACGCAAGCGCTGTGAATACGTGTTTAGGTGATGTGGAGTTTACCCCGTGCGTCTGCTTCTTTCGGCCTCGTTCTCGTTGCTTTGTGGCCTCGAGTGTGTGTTGATCCAGCCTTGACACTTGTAAATTTCGCAATCTCTGCAGCAGTGGTCTGAGCTCCAACCTTGCGCATGCTGCGAAAGTAAGAATCTGGGGGGGAATCTTTGTCGGACGAATACAATGAAGCAGTACACGTGGATCGAGTGTAGCTCGTTGGTAAGGATTGAAGGATTCAAGTATATGTCTACCAGGAGACAGAAAAATGTGGTTGTGTTTTGTGACAGTGACCTAAGTCTACCAGGAGACAGAAAAATGTTGTTGTGTTTTGTGACAGTGACCTGATGATGGCTTCTCTAGAGGCATCAATGCAACATTGTGCTAATGTAGCCAGTTGCAACAGAGGGGACACGGGGGACAAGAATCCTGAGTGTCAGACATTTTGTGTAAGTCCGTGTAGCCCATATGCCGCGAGAGCTTATTCTTTATTTATTTCATTGCGTTTACCGCTACTGCTCCGTTGTTCCGCGTCCTGAGGTATCGTCGTCGACCTCGCGACAGCATTTTTACTCTCTCGAGAACCCGCATACTGTAGAGTGAAGTACGGACGGACGTGGAAGAAAGTATTTCATCGAGGCGTTGGCATTGTCTATTTCCGTTGATATTACCGACTTCTGGTGAATTATATTTTTTTGATGCGGCGCTGTTCCTGTTTGGTTTTTCGTACGTAGCTTTGTTTCTTCACGCCATTGGCTCATTTTGGTGCAGGAGCTTTGGTGCTCCAAGGAATTGCCGACCTTCTTTCTGTTGCTGTCCGCCCTGGAAATCGTCCTCGTTGAAAATGTTCTGAATCCGGGCACGAGTGCGATTTCTTCGCCCGCTTTCTTGTCGTCCTTTTCGGCCATTTGATGATGCCTCGATCTTCTTGTAACGCGAAGTGCTGAATAGTACGATGACCACTCGAACCCTCGTTTCCTGAAAAATGAAGAGTTTACCCCAAGGGTTGGTTGCCATCCCTGTGATGAGCGCCGTCTTGCCCCGAGAGTGCGTTTATTCACGAAGTTTTCATCGGCAGTGCAAATCTTCGTAGACATGAAGAAAGAAAGCAACAATCTTCGTAGCTGGAAAGAGACTCGATGCAGTTCCCCTATCGCGCGAGGCTCATATCTTGACAGCAGTACGTCAGCTGTTGTTCGTTGTGGTCCGCGTACGTGGCCATGGTTGGGTAGTGAAGTACTTCTTCTATTCTTCCCACACAAACGCGCAAGCTGCATTCCCCACGGTTACACTTTGCAACGCCTTCGCAACACGGCACGAACCGCACGGTGCATACCGCATCAAACCCATGCAGCTATCGCATCAAATCCATGCTGCAGTAGAAGAGAGTCGTTCTATATTGCAAGTACTCTAAATATACGAACATCGATTCCTACCCCACCCATGTGGGCACGTTGTTGGATGTCTGTACGTCCTTTTTCGCCCCTGGCGCTCCCTGGCGATCGACCGACGGTTCTGTTCGAGGCTTCGATTTAGAAACAAGTCTCTCTTCTTGATCGAGGGAGGTCTATGTGATCCCAGCAGGTAATGATGAGACTGACGCGACGCCAAAGGCTACCAACCACTTAGGTAGGTTGGGCTCCATCCAGTTCTTGCTCCACAGATCTTTGTCTTGGAGGGCCGTCATGTTCCACATCGCTACCAGAGCTGTGAGACTGCTTACGGTCTTCACTCCTCGACATCAGCGAAAAACTGGTGGTACGGTATTCATAGTACTAAAAAAAGAGCACTAGTAGAACCGAACAAACGGTGTTATGGATGACTCCTGGATTTCATGGATGAAACAAAGCAAGGGAGATCAGAATCACAGCAGCTGGCAACAGAGCATGTACATTCCCGAGCGAAACAACTCATGAAAACAGACGACATCGACTGAAGGGATTGAAGCCTGAAACAAAAGCGTTCACAACAAAGTCTACAAAGTTACGTGCGCTCATACCGACTTGGGACAAGCTCTGCGTGCATTTTCAGCAGCACGCGCAGATCGCCAGAGATACGTTCCTCGCGAAACCAATAACAACGGGCGGCTGCTCTGCGCTGCGAAAGGAACATGAAATGCACCCCGCTCATCAACGCCGGATCCATTCGCCTATGGATAAACAGGGTGGTGTCAAGCGCTTGCCAATCATGATGCGCACGGCCGATTACGTCCACATGAAACCCAATACAGTAAATACATCCGAACCGCCCTGTTACTATCCTACACCAAAGTTGTGCTGAGGTTTCGCAAGCAGACCGCGCGAACGGGTTACCAGACGTCGGGTCTGCCGAAAAAGGGACAAATACACGCAAGTGACATACGACACACGCGGAGAGGACACCCCTGGTCACCAGCCTAGCACACTGGGTGCCGAGGCCCGGTTCCCCTGTTCCCAGTTCCACACAATGCCCTGGTTCTCATGGCCGTCCCCAGCAATGCTTTGAGACGTCGCAGAAGTCGTCATGGAAGGACGAGAGGGGCTCGGCAGGAGCGAACAACGAAGACGAAACCGCAGCAGCCGCCTCCGAGGTTTTGACAGCAGTGTACCACTGATCCGCCAAGAAACAAGATACTGACCAACCATTGGCGAGATCGTCGGGGTTTCTTATCCTGGTCGAGTGCAGGAGGCCGGCCAGCCTCCGCAGGAGATGCAGGGTTCCCGCGTGATGGATACACGAAGATACCTGGGCTGCGAGATCCACGCCGCAGGTCCTCAGCTGCTGGGAGGATCAAACAGTCGGCTCGCCATCGATCCTTGTGTCGCCCGTCCTACGCACCAGCGAAAGCTTCGGAGTCCAGAACCCTGATAATTCCTCCTCATCGACGGCAATAGAGGAAAGCCGACCTAGGGAGATTCGCGCAGGTCTTGAGGGAGGTCCTCATGCCGTAGGTTGTCCAAGTCGTAGTGGAATTGGATCGCGTCGACCTGTAACGACCCAGGGGTTGCAAGGGTGCCGAAACGTGTCTGCGATGAATGGAACATTTGAGGCGATCTTTCGGACATTCTGCGGCGACGGCACAAGTCTGTGGTGACGAAATCGGCCTTGCACAGACAAAAAAGGCGGCAAACGTCAATGTCGTGCACTGTTGATCGATATCAACTAAAAAGAGGATATTGCAACAATGAAATAGTGACACACGGACATAGCTCGAAAAAACAGTGTTAGGCAGCAAAATTCATTTTCGTTTTTACCAATCCGTCGATGCCCTTGAGGCGGGCCGCCTTGGGCACCACGGCCAGCTCCGTGAAGCCAAGGCCTCGCCAGAGCCGAAGAGACGCCTCGTTGCTGCGAAACACCTGAAATTCGTGTTGTGCTATTTAGTGGTTACAGAAAGGCCACGGCTGTTGATACCGAACAAGATATTCTTTCATTGCGCGTTGTCGTGGATATGAAAATATCGTTTGACACACAGTTACTGGAACACTTTGCGAGAGACGGGCGTCGTCGCTGCGTGTGTTAGCGACGACGTTCTCGACGGCTTGCGCCAAACCTAAGTGGTGACATCGCGGAACCTCGGCGTCAATATGAAGCACGTGTGATCGCTGTCCGGCTGGGCTAGGGTTTCCTCGGGCTTCGACGAAAGGCGCATTCGTGACAGGCGGGGCTAGATTCATCATAAACAGATCGCTGATTCATTCGTACAACGCGATACGACACATCCGAGACGAGAGGTCGCTACCGTAAAAACCGCTGCAACATCTGCAGGGAGGGAAGATGTTCGTAGGCTGTAAAACAAGTCGAATACCCCCGCCCCCCAACACCGCTTCTGCCCTACATACCCAGCACAAACAAACTTGCACACCATTTCGGGGGTCAACACACAAAACTTGGGAAGAACCTCACGGCCCAATTCTACAAACGTTCCCGGGGTGGCGGTGGCAAACACTTCGCCTGCGACAATAGACGCCGCGAACCGTCCTATTCCAGCACGTCACGCAATGCTCCTCACCAAGTTGAAGTAGCTCGCCCGGTAGCCCAGGTCCTTCGCGAACCGCAAGAACGCGTGTCCCATCAGCCTCGCCACCCCCCTCTGCCTCCTGCGCGGGTCCGTGATGAAGCCCCCGTTGCAGACGTGCGAGCACCTTCCCGGAAAGTTGGGCTTGATGTAGAACGCTCCCCACACCTTCATACCGGCGTCCCGTTCGTTATCCTCTTCCTCCTCCACCGCGGTCGACCCAGCGTTCCTCGCCTCGTCGCTACCGATTGTTGCGGCCACTGCTGCCGCCGTTGTAGCCGCTGCCGCCACGGCTCGGTCCTCTGGCGAACACCCGGTCGCTGCGCCCGACGAACGAACTGACCGTTCCGGAGGACACGAAGAGGCCAGCTCTCCCGGCGGACTCATCAGCCCTTCCGACGACCGGACCTCCGAGTGGCCCGTTGGGCCTGCCGCGTCTCCCGCCACCCCACCCGGAGAACACGGGGCCCCTTCTTCTCCGCAGGCCGCCCCGTCCCCTCCCCCGCCTTCGCGACCTACCGTGTCGCGGCTGCTGTCACCCGCAGTACAAACCCTCGCACCGCCCCCGCTCGACGGTGCACCGGCGGCGGTAAGCGGTGGTTCTATGGGGGGGGAGGAGGGCACGGCGCGCACGACGAACGCGGCGTGGGAGAGGAAGTAGGCCCGAAAGGCTTCCATGTCCATGGCCTCCTCGAACGGCCAAGACAGCCCCTTTTCCGTGACGACGGGTGATGGCGATGCGCCAAGATGTATTGGTTTCAAGTTTGGTGTTGAGATCATGGGACGGGGCCGCCAAGTAAGACGTGGGCACGGGGGCAGGCGCCTCTGGTCAGGACGCGGACGATCAGACGATCTGGCCGAACGGTGGTAAAGTTGGAACTGATCGAGGCCTTTTCGTAAGGTCTCGCAGGAACGTCGTGGTTCGAGGGTCAACATCCGGGGCACTTATTGCCCTCACGCATGGTATTACCATGTGGCGATGTTCTCGATTCACGACATGTGCAGTCGCGATAAGCAGTGCCAAGTGTCACGACACACATGTACCTCAGGTTACATTGAACGATACCGCCTTGGAGCAGCAGCATGCGTCCAAAGTTTAGACCAATTTGAATCGGAACGGAGAATGTCCAAAGGTCCACATGATTCAGATGCAAAACCGAACAACATTCATTACTTGCCTCTTCGATTACGCCGTTGAGGAGGCGGTGACCGGCTGCATGCTCGCTGCGTAGTAAGGCACCGGCAGCAAAGGACACACGTGTGTTTGTCACGAGGTAGATATCACACCGCCGCCTTGCTGTTCCGAACCAGTTGAACAATAACGAACTCTGCTGGGCGCGCAAATCCGGACAACACAGCAGGGTATCACCGTGACGTGACCACACGCATGAACAGGAGACGTGCAGGGTGCAAACGGCCACCGCAACAACATCGATACGACGAGTAGCACGGAGGGAAAGACCACCGACATAAGGAGGTGTCACACAGACTCTCAAGCATCTCGGCGGCTCGTTCAACGGCGCCCCCACCAGGCTCGATCCCGTTTCAACTTCGAGGCAACATCACCCCTCTCTCTCCTCGTGGGCGCTGAGACCCGCGCAACGCCCACCGCTGCTGCTGCAGCGGCACGTGTGCTGGAGAGGACACCACATCATACCACAGCAAGCTAGCCACCGCTACTACTACTGTGGAGTCCCTCTACCGGTTCATATAACTTTTTGTTATGACACCCCCTTTGTTGCCACCAACAAGCAGCAAGTCAAGGGAAGGAATACCCCGCCTATAACATCACCTCCCCATCCATGGTATCACCCCCCCCCAGCAACAACAGCCTTGGAAAGTAAAGGTACCGCCCCTTCGTCATCGCAACCCGGTGCTATCACACATTCTTGATTGCCCTGTGCGAGGACGGTGTAACCTGGGTTGCACTACTGTACTGTAGCGATCACACCCCGCGGGTGATGTGCACATCTCTCAAGAAACCACCCCAGGTGATGTACCTTTGTCGTTGTCAAAATCCTAACAAGATATCGTGGGGGGGTGGTTTCCTACGACACACGAAGGGTATTCCAGCATGTCCGCGGGGTAACCTCACCTTGTTCGGAAATGATCTATTTCGACTTGCGTGCCGTCTGGGAGCTTGGTTCGGATCGGGAGATATCGCAGGCCTCGAGGTGCCCCACCCGATGGCGCTGAGATGCTTCCGTAACAGGAAGCCATGTCGGAAGTGGTGATGTGATGTGTGTCTCTTGTCTTGGCCTCTTTGAGACAAGGTATGTGCTTGGAATGCATCCATCCGTTGTGCCCCCAAAGCTTGCTTGCTGAACTTGCACCCGACACCACCATTTGCAAGATGCCGAGAGGGCACCACAAGCGCACCTTCTCCGACCCAGCCAGGTACGGGATCTTTCAGGTTGTCGGTGCTTGGCCAGAGGGCGCCTTTGTCTGATTATAGGCAGAAAACGGGCGATGGACCTTCGCTGTGTGTACGGCGGAGAGTTGCTGCTGCCTGCCTTCGTCAATAATGCTTCCGAAGGAGCGATCATGTAGGTTCTAGGTTCTCAGGTGCGCCACGATTGGTACACTTACGTAGGCACAGCACTACCCGACAACACAGCTTCCAACCTTAGGCCTTTCAGACATAGGCGATTTTGTGGCAGGACCGTCCATGTCCCCCAAGCAAGAAGATCGGAGAAGGGTACCCTGCTGTAGCGGGGAATCATGTCGGCAGAGGCTTCCTCTGTGCCTCTGTGCCGAATCGCCACCCACATCAACTTCAAACTTCAAACAACGGCAAGGCCACCGCGGCCACCGCGGGAGTTCCTTGGACGGTATTTTCGGACCGTCACAGGACCAATGCATGCATGGCCGTGAGGTGGGCCTCAGTAGACGTGCCAATTCATGGGATCAGGGCACCTTTGCTTATGTACGGAGAAAGGCGGTACTTGTATACTCTTTCTTACTCTTTCCAGAGGGTCAGCCTCTCAGCCTCTTGTAAAAGAGTCAATGCTTCAGCGAGCTTGCACTGGTGTCTGTGGAGATGTGGAGATACAATGAACACCAGGAGCAAGAGCTAAAATAGACATTCCCTGCGTTCAATTCTCCCCCGCTATCAAGCACACCCTGCTTGATGTGCATGTGTGTCCGCGTCATAGCAAGGCTGGGCCAAGAATAGACTCATTTCAGTGCTGCTAACCGCAGCAAATCTACAGTATGTAGACAAAACTCCGCATCATGGAAAAAGATCAAGACCTACCCGTTGAAAGGGTTCTATAGCAGTACATTCTGTAGTGTCAACGACGTGTCGATATCTGTACGTGCAGCAGTGAGGGTCGAGGGTTTCAGGGACACCTGGAAACCTACAGCAGTACTCCTATTATACATCCGAGGAAGAGTGATGTCAGCGGGATTTTTTTTTTTTTTCCGAATCCTTGGATCCACTTGAGAACTAACAAGGAGGAATGCTCGCGAGTAAATCACAACCTGAGGGCAGGGGTTGGTGACACGTTCCCTGCAGGGGGGAAGCCGACTGCAACTGTTGGGAGAAAAAAACAACGGAGTTGTACCGTCCTCTTGTGCGGCCCCGACTGTTGGATCAAAACCCACACCGAAACGTGTGGACTCGCTGGCGCCCGTAAGAGATGGGACGAATCCCCTGCCCAGTCCGTTTTCGTTCGATCTGTTGTTTGGTGTGTGCCTTGGTGCGGATGTGTGTACAGCAGCTAACCCATCGTTATTGACAACAGCCAGGCAGTGTGATAGGTTATTGTAGCGCAACTATCGGAGATACCGTCGGTAGCACCAGCAAGGGTAGAGTTTGGTATCGCAACTGTCGGAGCTGTCGCAGTGCGCGTACCAAATGTAACAGCATTGCGGGTAGATCGGCCCGCCACAGGATATAGTCTAACAGGGGTCCATGTTGCATCGCACCGGGGTTGCGACAAAGAGGCAAGAACGATTAATATTACTTTCGACTTCCGCGCCGGCATCGGGGCTATCGCACGTATCGGAGTCGCGGTCGCCGCAACGGGGTGCGATAACAATTCAAGACGAACTTACTATGATTGAGATCGCCCCACGCGTATTTCAGTTGGCGACCGGCTGCAGCCCTCTGACTCTCTAGGTTTCGCGTTCGAAATCTCTATGGTGTGAGAAAATCGCAGTGTAGGCGTGGAAAGCGCGTAGCCGTGACCAACCAAAAGCTGAGGGAAGCAACCGCAACACCCATCTAAGGCAAGCGCCGCAAGTGGGGAGGACAGAAGAACTATAGTGTTTCCGTCGGTCCTGTGTGACTGACCCCGGCTGGTGGGTCAAATATGTGCCGATGTACCGAACGGTGTAAGCTAGCGTCGAAATCGATAGAGACGAAAACAATCATTGCACGCACCAGTGCCCATGACTCGCACAAGTTCGATTGCTAGAGTACGTCGTCGTTCACGACCTGGCCAGCACCATAATCTTTTTGAACAGAGACAATCCCCAAATCCATCGCCTTTCTTCTTTTCTCCGCTCCCGTCTTCGTGTCCTCCACGACCCTCTTGCAGGCTAACATACCAGAAGCGTGTGAAGGCAAGCCCAAACTTCAGCACATCCTTCCAAAGAGGCTTGCTTAGAGCTCCCTCATTTGAAGGGCAAGGCTGTGAATTTGTACGCCTTGGACTGGTGGTTGGAGGTGAAGGTCCTTCGAAGGGTGGCGGGGGGAGGGGGGGATGGGGGTCCCTATCTTGAAGGTCCTGCTCGCTGGAGTCGATGTGTCAGTGCTTTTTCTGGTAAGGCGATACTGATGGCTTGCATGCAGCGTATACTCGAAACGTTTAACCTTCCTTCAGAAGGACTGGCAGTGTCGTAACCTTTTACAAGAATCACGGGCTGAAGCACAAGAATTATTTGCGTGGTTTTCGTAGAGATATGATAGCGTGAGAAGCACAACATACTTAGTGCGGATGAGTTAGGCAAGTCTATATTCTTTGATGGAGTGCCGGGATTGGGGGGTGGCAGCTTTGCGTACGGCAGTGCACCCTCCGAAGTCTATGGCGAAGCACCAACGTCACGAATACAATGGACCACAACGAGTCGTGCACCAGTAACAGCGTCCTGGGCTGAGATCCGGGCGCGCTCAGGTGCGCCGATCAGGGCAGGTGCACGCTCCTCCAGGCCGACCCTCGCCGTTGCCGGTTGTCTTCAGGCTGTCGATATCTTCGAGCATTGTTTTGTGTTTTGTTGTTTCATGTGCGCCTGCTGGGCGTCGTGCCCTCCTCCATTTTGACCCTGGACTGGCGATGCTTTTTTTTCCAATGGATTTCGGAAGGTTGTGACCCTGCTGGTGTCGAACTGCAAGGCCAAGCAACACGAATCGCGAATATGGGCGACGGCCTTCCACCTCTTGGCCATGGTCTGGCTGGTAAGCTCTCCTGCTGCCCCCTGTGCAGCGGTATCCAATAGCAATGGTGGTGGTCACGCGTCATCATCCCATTTCCGTCCCAACAAACGTGGAGAATGCAAACGTATGAAGCATTGTTTCGTTGGCGAAGGAACGAAGAGAATTTTCGTACAAACCTTTTGTGTATTTCGATCTTCACGCATTGAGTTTTTCAAAAATCTAGAAACTTCGGGTGCATGCTACTCTTGTTGGTACCGACGTCGCTGTTGCTGCAGCTTTGGTAATGCTCCTAGAGCGTCTCATCTCTGCCCACTTGCCGCCGCTGCTGCTGCTGCTGCTGCTTCTGCTGCTCGATTTCTTGCCCGTTGTGTGTGAGGTATACATGCAGTGGTTAAGATCGAAACTACCTTTGAACCATCAACAACGTTTTCCCAGTCTGTTCGTCATACATTCTGCAGTGCACTGGGTTCATTTCCGTTGTGCTTCCTTGTGCACATCGCCCTTTAACACACTGCACGGGTCGTATGATGTGTTGAACCACGACTGGCCTAGCTTGAGCGTGTTTTTTCACACACAGGAGTGCCACTAATGTCGCACAACAACCACTGTTCGCAGCTGTGTCCACAAGTGGAAACGAGCAAGACCCTTGTACACTACTATGTTCCCTCCGAGATTCGATTCTCTTCCCCGACCCTGTCCCCTTACCGACGTGCCCGCCATCGGGCAAACCGAAACCCTCTCTTCTCCAGACTCTTCGCGGAATGTTCTGGGTGTTGGCCATCACGACCCGCGAGGAGTGGGAGTCGGCCATGTTCGGCCTGCTCTACTGGCTTCCGAACCCGCTTCAGTTCGGCTGCTTCTTGCTACTGCCGATGGCCTACAGCAAGGTGCGAGCTTGTCTGTTTCGGCACAGCGTTGTCGTAACTGTTGCTGCCCGTGGCTTTGAAATGGTTGGGACCCGAGCGTTGCCGGGGGGGCTTATTTTTGCTTCCCAAACATGGTCATGTGACAAAGACTCGCGGTGGTATGAGCTTGTTGATTCCGTAGGCTGTTGAAGTATCGGCGGCCTCTGAACCCATTTCGGCTGTAAAAAAGGCCTGCCACCGCAGAGATCCGTTTTTCTTTTACCTGGTGGAGCGGTGTTGTTGTTGTGATGGTTGAATTTGGAAGACGGTGAAAACAGCAACAATCGTCTGAAGACCAAAGTGGGGAGACGATATTGTGGAAGGCATTCCGAGATAATGTGATACGTAGTGAGGACCGAGGTTGGACACCTGGGGCAGCTTTTCGCCTCATGCTTGCCCATCACCCACAGCAATGTCGCACGACTATCGGAGCTAACATGGCATTTAGGTAGCTTCGCAACCACAACCAACAGACTCTGAGAACGTCGGCCGATACCCCCAAAGCATTCTCTCGATCGCATCTTATACCGTAGGTTGCCCACGATATCACACCCCCTGGACCGCTTTTCAAAGATCGATTACTCGGCAGGAAAAGCGGCGATGGTGCCGAAAATGTCGCCGTTGGAATCGTCTCGTCGAGAGGTGATCGAGAACGTGTCATTTGATATTGGCATCCTCTTCGCCATCTTTGAAAATCGATCCACGGCGTGTGGTATCATATAAAACCTTAGGTGCGTCGGTACCCTATTGCGGCATCGGGGTCGTCTTGGTTGCGGAGAAACCGAGCTTTGAGGGTCGGTCTAGGGGATTGTGCGATGACCGGCAGTTTTTCGGGGGGGGGGAGCTACACTAGTGCGTTCTGCGCTTAGATAAAAATAGAAGATGGGATTGTCACACGAGCAATGGGGCGTAAAGGTCGTACGCCACGCCACACACCCTGTCGAGCAATGATGTTGCCGAGCGATAGGCGATTAAGGAAAACCCCGTTGTGTTTCGTCTCGCAGGAACGTTGTAACTGCAACCCCGTGTAATGGCGGGAAGTACAGGAACGAATGCCCATTCTACGACACCTGCAACACCCAACGTTTTGCAACACCCCCCTTGCCCTTTCACATGCACACGAAAGATGGCCGTGTCTCACGGAACGCTATACGCTGCATCACGAGTCACCGGAAAATTTCAGCACAGCGAATAGAAAGCTATCTCTCTCAAGGCGGCAACACATTGTACACTGCTGCCGCCTGTTGGCAGGTGCTGTCCTCGGAGAATGACTGGAAGGCTAAGAGCCGCGTTGTCGGCCGCGTCTACGTGACGCTCGTGTCGGGCATGCTCGTCTACATGGTGGGGTACGCCCTGGTGCAGGTGGTGCGGGAGAGTCGTCAGTTTCAGGTACGACATCGTTAAGGTATGGCGGAAAGATCGAAGGACGATTTTTTTTTTCCACAGTACGTGCTTTTTGGTCGGGCCGTTTTCGTCCTCATTGCGCTGTAGTCCAACCTTGGTGTGTCACTGGACCATATTGTGCGTCCGGGGCGCAGGTTACTCCTGGTTCAACGAACGATTTACGTTGTACTCTGTACTGATGTTCCGCCAACCTGCTTTTGTTCCCCCTTGTTTCGGGTTTCAGCCTTGCATGGATGTACAGCTATGCATGGTTTGCAAAGAGTATCACAAACAACTGCCGTAGTACACTTTCGCAGTGAGAGTTTTTTCTTTTTTTACGCCATAACACGTCTCTTTGATGTCTTTGACGTATGGACACGTACAGTGCGTGACGGCGGACAAGGATTCCAAAGACGCGCCGCAGACGTGCTACAGCATGGATACCACCAGCGACGCATTTCGGGTGCTGACGGGTTTTTGCTTCTTCGCCTTAGCCGCAGGAGTCGCAAGCTACGGGTTCAAGGTACGTGTCGCGTCCTGTTCGGAGACCCCCAACACCGCAAAGGCCGCGTATATGGCCTAATAGAGCTGTGACTTTTGCTTGTGTGGTTGATGGTGGCGGGGGCGATCGTGATGATGTAGGTGATATTGGTTCCATCCTTCTTGTCGCGCTGCTTAGAACATGTCGTGGGCTTTTTAGCTATCGTTGTTGTTGCAAAGGAGGAAATGGCGCCGATGTTGAGGTGTTTGTGAAGTTTTGTGGTGTCGAATTGCCGCCATTTGTTGCAGTTGTCGTGGGATGTTCGCATCGCGTCGTTGATGTTGCAGGACAAAACCTTCTTCATGGCTTTCGCTCCCGTCTCGCGCTCGCTGTTCTCTTGAATTTTGTTTTGTTGTTGCACCTCTCTCGGACCGCGGGCCACATGTTTTGCCTAAATATTTTGCGGTACCTTCTCAACTCTCAAACAAAATGACCCGATCCAGCGTCATACCCACGGCGATGACACGCAAATGATGTCTGTCGCCGCGGCAGAATAATGTTGCACTCTTCGCACCGTCGTTTCACATCGAAACCCGCTCGCTCTCACCACAATCGACTGGGTCGGTGCAGATGTCGAGGCTGACGGCATCGCAGAATAGGGCGCAGCTGATCTACCATCCCCGAGCACTGACGGCTCTCAACTGCTTTCTTGTTGCGGTCTTCCTCTCTAAGGTAACACAAATACAACTTCACCCATGCGACAAGTTCCATATTGAGGGTTTGCTGGACGCGCACGATGCAAAGCCTACATTTTTATGGGGATGTTTGACTGCGATTGGTCTCAGTTAGGCTCATCGGATCGGGAATATGGAGCGAGTACATTTTATTGCGTACCTCCAGGTCAACCGAAGTCTGTATAGTCGCATCGCAATTCTCCGGTTGCTGTTTTTGGCATCATTGTCGTCGTCGCCGTCATACTCATCGTCGTTGTTATTGCTGATGCGGCTGGTGCTACGACTGCTGCCTTGGGTGCCGTTCCGCCTGCCTCTGCTGCTTTCCTCCTTCGATAGGGAGCTTACCAGATATCCTCAGTCAAGGGGCTGTGGTGTCTTCCGGACATACCGCTCAAGGTGAGGCCAAGCGACTAAAATACGTAACCTCCAATGTGTGGCCTTTCTCCCGTGCAATTCCAGCCAATGCGTCAGGTTGAAATACCTGACTTGCAGAATAGGTGGACGGCAACACACACGTGGTCTTCTGTGTCGGGAACCCCGTATCACACCACGAGTTGTCCAGTCGCATACGAGCAAACCGCTGCAAAGCATCTAGCGTTCTTGGGGAATCCACGGGACTATGTTGCTCAAGCCTTGTCGCGCGCGCTCGGAACCCCAGGGGTCCGAAGACGTTTGCCTGCTGAACTTCTGTGTGTTCATGCTGTGGGACTACATTCCGACTGTCTGGCTGCTGCTGGTCATGGAGGGCACGACTGGAGACCACGTCGGCACGTCGGTGGTAAAGGTGTGTACCGCATTCACACCTGTGTCCTCCCGGTTGCTAGGTGCTTGCAAGGGTTTCCTTTTTAGTCACTGTTGGCGTTGACGCTGGTCTTGTTGATCGACACATGCATCGCGCCTCGAAATACCGTTTTCGTCGCGGAGGTGGTCATGCTTTGACAATGGGTCCGGGGTGTGAGGTATCTTGTGCAACCTACGCCGGTAGCCACTCGCGGGACCGATCTTCAGGCGAATCATAGGCCCGAGTTCTTCTGTTTTCTCGGATGCGTTTTGTTGCGATTTCCTGTATCGATCCAAAACCGGACCTGATGTGCTACCGGCACCCCGTCCGCACCGTGATTCCCGATGTGCGAAACGCCTCACTGCCGTACACAGACGTATCTGCGGACCTAATAATGGCCAATTCCCGGCAGGCCATGTTGGGATGTAACCTTTGTGATAGGTGTATCCCTGGCAAGGCCTCTGTGTAGTAAGTTAACAGTGTGCAGAGGCTCACAGAATGACTGTAAGGTACGCTTGTGTTGTAGACCTGAAAAGATGGTTTGAATTGGCGCTTAGTTGGCCGAACGGTCAGAAGAGAGAAAGGGCAAGAAGTAGAAAGAAAAGGAGTAGGAGTGAGCGAGTGGGGGCGAGCACCATGGGGGTAAGCCATCCATCGTCATCACGGAAAGGAAACACACACGGGCTATTGCAACGTACCAATCACGGTAATAGACGATCAATCCGACCTATGTCAACGTTACTATAGTATCCTTTAGGCCAATGGTCCGATGTACCATAGTTCTATGGTTTAATGTATAACCCGTAGGTGTGTACAATGATCCGATTACTGAATCAACATACCGAAGACTATTCCGGTAATACTCCCCGGGTGAATACCTACGTGCTGTTGTTTACAGCAGTACAATACTATAATGACTGACATTGATTATTCCAACAGGCCGTTCATCCCGCAAACTACGGGGACGACCTGCGGAACCTCCCGGACTACGGGGTGTTCCGCGAGATCAAGGCGGCGGCTGCACGGGATGCCGCTAGGGCGGAAAGGTGCGTGTCGGCGGCCCAGCCCCCCGCACGTCCTTGAGCGTGGCATGTTTTCCTAAAGCAGGTGTCACTGAGCTGGGAAGTCCCTCCATGCAATTCGCAGCTTATGTCTGGGGCAGCACGTGTGCCTGGGAATCATGAATATCTGCTTGCAAACATCTTTTCATGGACCGTGCTCGAGACATTGAGATGTCGGCTCCGACCTCTTGAATCGCGCCTAGGATGTCACTTTCAAGCCGTTCCGGCCCTTTCTGGTTTGTTTTAGGGCACACGCCCTATGATACGAACCCCCCGCCTCCCCCCTCCTCTTTCCTCACGGTCTTTGTGTATCGCAGGGCATGGTCTGGGGCGTCCACCGGACAATATTTCTCGTACTCCTCTTGGCTTTCTACCGAGCAATCTCCGAGAACCACCAGCGGTTTGAGAGACCCCAACCACTTCAAGAATGTTCCGGGTATGATAAAGGTGTCGCGGGATGAAATTGTGTCACCACCGCATCACTGACCAGGCGTTTCACTTGTTACTTTGTGTAGAGTTTGATCGTGCAGAGAGTCCAAAGTGATCTGCTCGAGAAGATGGTCGTGTCAATAGTTAGTCGTGGGGTTCACGTTGGGCATGCATGCATAATGATTATGTGCATTCAAGCTGATTCAGAGTGAACGCCGTTTTTGGTTGAATGGCGAATGTTCGCGTTTTGTTTCTCGAGTAAGAGCCTCATTTTGCACACTATCATCTTCCTTGCTCAACGTGGAAGACCGACTTCATCTTCTTTCTTTCGTTTGTCGCCAATTTTCCGGATCCCAGGGTTACGGAAGTAATCTGAATGGGTCTGTTAAGACCAAGGATATTCGGGGAAAGAAAAATTATGAAAAACCCATGGTCTTGTCGAAGTTTGTCGGGACCCTTGTGTACACCTCTCCGAACTTTGAGAGAATACATCAAAGAACCATCGTGACGTACCCTTTTTGGGCGATCAGTTGATACATCTCCGGCGCGGCCCCCCGTCTACACGGTTTACCTATGCAATCGACCTTTTCCCGGGATCTTTCCAGCAAGAAATTCGAAGTATTCGGTAAATTCGACAATAGAACTCCGGACGATGTCAGCAGTCGAACATGCACGCCAGTGGTATTGATCAAACAGTCAACACTCACAGGGACAGTATGTGGAGCAGGTTGAGAGGCGGCCATTCGTGTTTCGTGGGTCGTCGTAGTTCTCATCCTCAAGTTAATTCAAGGGCTCAAGTTGGTGTTGGAGTCTGGTGTTGTCTTGGCTCTGGTATAGGCGCGGAACCTCTCCGTCTTCGCGCGTCCATTGGCGATGGCGGTAGCTGTTCTTTGTTCTGCATCAGGTTCTTTGTTTTCCTGGCGTGCCGTTGATTCCTCAACGAGTTGTGGGTACGTTGATTGCAAGAGGACTGGTTTGGTTAACCGTTAAGGTGAGGTCCGTGGTACCGGCCGTTCGGGGTTTTTCTTTGGCCTAAATAGTTTACTCTTCTTCCATTTCTGCCAAGCGTGACAACATTCAAGCCTGCTATGATTATTTTTTCACTGGTTTTGTTTGCTTGTTCTGCTGCTACTCCCTGTTGTAACAAATCCTTACGGTGCTTTGCAGCCGCACCATACAACGCTCAGGGCGGCGGTGGCTCCTACCCCAGCAGCGTGCACAGCAGCAGGGAAAACCTGTCACAGAGCGGCGGCGGCGGCGGCGGGGGCGGCGGCAGCAGCAGTAACGGGTATGGCTTCTACGGGTACGGCAGTGGGAGTGCTGCTACCGCCGGCCAGGTCTCCAGTGTCGGCTCGAGCTTGGGCGGCATGGCCTTCGTAGCCTCACCCTCCTCTTGTTCGCTCGAGTCGCACGATCGCCAGAATCGTAGGGGTCCGTTCAGCTGGTTGTTGGGATGGAGGAGCGCCACCGCTGAGGCGGAGGCTGGGAGCGACGCGGCGAGAGGTGTGAGTGACGGCAGGGCGAGAGGGCATCATCGTAGTGGTAGTGGCAGCCGTGGCGGCAGCGGTGGCGGTAGTCCGTTTCTATGGCAAGCGGGCATGGATTGCGGCAGCAGCAGCTACAACAAGGGCAGCAGCAGCAGCCGACGCGAGAATGTAAACGAGATGAGCAACACCAGCGACGGAGGCGGGATGGTCTCGCGGTGGTGGAGACGCGTGGTTGAGGGGAGGAGGGAAGGAAGCGCCGCTGACCAGGCAGGAGAAACAGCTTCCCTGTGGCAGTCCTCGGATGCCGACGCCCCGGACAATTGTTACCCGGGTTTCGGCGAGCTCTCTCGAGCAGAAGTCACGTACTCGTTGCGGGGATACCGTGGTCCGGCTACGAGACAAGAACGGGCGATCAGCGACGACAGTTCACTGGGAGGAGGTGGCGGCGCAGGAGGAATGGGAGGTGTATGGGAGGGGTATCGAAGCGAGACGGGTCCAGTCAGGTCAGTCCGGGATCTGTGTTCATGTCGTGGGCCTGAGGTACTCAATTATGCACCTGCTGTGGTAGCGGAAAACAGGGAGTCCACGTTTTCGAGGTCCATCGTCGGCATGTCGTTGGTGCTGCTGATTCCGTTTGTCTCAAGAAATGGGTGTCGTTTCTTATTTTGTTTCGCAAAGGGACGTTTGGACAACATGGCACGGAGGCGTATTGTCCAGCTGTGTTTCGGAGGGAAGACTTGGACGCCATGGACGATTCCACCAGATCTTGACTCTTACGCGCTCAACCCACCGTTTCTGTCGGCCCGCGTTGTTTTTCTGCTCCCCGCTGTCTGGTTGGTGTCCTCTGTGCGGTTAAAAAAAGGCAAACCCGAAGGCAGGAGGACGCGAGCGTCGAAACGGCCGAACATGAAGGAAGACAGATCCTTGCACCGCCCCGGAGCGAGACGGTCGTTCGCCAGGACTATGGCTCCAGCGGCGGCGATGGTGGCCTCGGGCAGCCCGCGCGTATCGATGATCGTCCCGGCCAAACGGTCGACGTCGGCGACGGCACCTTCTCGGAGGGGAGAGGGGGGCATGGTCCAAGGTACCCCGGACAAGGTGAACATGGCCGCAGCCACAAGAGTTGCGAAGAGCTTGAGAATCGGCAAGGGGGTACCGTTAGGACGGAAGTCGCTAGAGGGGGCGCACAGGTCTTCGGAGTGGGGCTTGCTGGGGGAGAACGAACCGGCGAGGGTGTGTATCGGCCGTACCACGTTCCCGATTAGTCACGGCATCAACAACGGCATCGTTGGCAGCGATATTGATTTGATGCTGCGGGACGCAGGAGCAACGGTTGTGGTTGGTCCATGCTGAGTGAATACGCGGGCGAAGTCGAGTACAACAGCGGGTAATTTGGGCGGGTCTGCGGCTCGTTGTTTACACAAGTGAGGTGGTACCAGTGCTCTGCCTCCTGCTGCACACCGGTATCAGCGCTGCATATTTTCTAGAATATATCACGTAGTATTTACTGTAGTACGCCGCCGAGTGAACGCGGGCTAGGCACGCTACACCGACCAAGGCACAAATTCTAATGATGTGTTTCAAGTGTATTTGAAAAATCGTTGAGATCGGAGAGAAATGATACGCGGCGATTAACGATAGCTTCTGCCCTTCTACACTTCATGTGGCCATCTTGTTGAGCTTGCAGGTTTAGGTTCGGTTCCGGTAGTAGTTTCCAGACAATTTCAATGTATGCGAAGCGGTAGCTGCGCGGCCCTCCGATTGAACGGTCGGCCTAGAATATGTTGCTGCAAATCATGAAGTGCATCCGTTCGTCGTATGAGTGCGAAGTGTATATATCACACGCGAATGAGGGAGGGAACCTTGGACGTTTGTTCACGAGTTGAATGCGATATCGCGCAGCACGTATTTTTGAAACGCACGCACGGTACAGTTTTGGCGAGAGAAATGAGAAGCGCTGCCACGTTGCCCGCCTTCACTCCTGTCACGGGCTTCCGTCAGGGAGACGTCGTGGAGGCGTCATCCGCTTTCTTTGGGGGTGGGGCATGGTGAGGCTTCTCTCTGGGCGTTTGGTTCTGTACCGTGAGCCATAGCTAAGTGTGGCATCAATAGAAGAAGGATGTCCATTTTTTTACGTTTCCATTCACGGTATTACGTGTATTGTACGTACTAGGTTTTTTTGGGAAGTGCTGCCTGAATTTGGGGTGTGGCGTCGGCCGGTATTTCCTCAACATCTTAATTTTTCTTTTGTGCAGGCGATGGCAAGCTCGATACGCTGATACGGAGTGACGGGCTCTTCATGCACCGATGTGTTGGGATGCCGACACGGCGCTCCGTTTTGCATCGGCCCATGTCGTTGCTGCGGCGTGCTGACGTGAATCTCCTCACGATGAAATGTGAAGGCAAAGTCTATCCCGTATCGTCAGAGGAACGGAGAGATCTATGCGCTTCATTCAAAGAAGGTGTGGAAACAACGTCACCCCTGGTCGGCATTGCATTCGAAATCACCCCACCTATGCTCCATAGCAGGGACAAGTAACAACACCAAACGCATATCATGAAACAGCCAAACACGAGTTATTAAAACCGGGGAACAGCTACGGAAAAAAAATCAAAGACGACCACTACATGTAGACAATGACCACAGCGACACAGACGCAACTATGCATACGCAGAGATCCTAAGGATGAAACCTGTCGACCCACCACCACATATACAGCTTACGTCATCGAGCCCCAACCTGTTCGAATATTGCTCACGCGTACTGTGCCGGTCGCCCCGGCGGTCTAGGTGATATCCTCGAAACCTTCTAGAGGCCACGGTCAGGGTTCGAATCCCGGCGAAAGCGGGCCCTTCTTGCAAAGTGAGTTTTTTCTCGGTACGGTTCCTCGTCTGGTGGAAACCGCTATTATAGTTCGTGTATACACAGAGGGAAAAGATTGCTACACTCTTCTCGCATCAAAAATTAAAGGCAAAAGTACCGCAGGAGCGGTGTGTAGGGGGCCTCAGGGAGAGGAACGTCAATGCGTGACCACGGGTTGGAGTAAACGGCACAAGTACTGCGAGCGCTGATTTGAACTCAAGACAATCAAAACTACAAGTAGATCGTATGTATATTTCCGATTTTGCTCACGCATACAGTATCAAGTACTAAAACATTTTTTTCCCCAAGGGCATTCACCACCGCATTATTTTACCCCTATCATGCAATCTCTACGCAACGACCAATCATTCCCACCAGACCACGAGTCACTTGAAGTTTCCTTCGGGATAATATCTCCCGCGTCTTACCCGGTTCGATCGTTTCGCTCGACAAGCCCTGTTTCCTTTGCGCGGAAATCGCAATTCCCGACACTGCCAGTGCCAAAACTGGTATCATCACCAACTCAGGTAAAACGTGGTTTCCATCCAGCAAGACACTCACATCACCAGCTCAGGTAAAACGTGGTCGTGGTTTCGCTCTGCTCGAGCAACGCGCTAAGTATGCGAACATGCAGATGTTGGTCATCCAGCAAGACACTCGGCACCAAGGGGGAACCTCCTGTGGCCTGGAGTGGCCAGTCAATCGCGCCATTCTCCAGCGAACTCCGCCTGCTCTGCCGTCGATCTTCTCCCCCCCCCACGATTACCACCGGACGAACCTTTCCGGCGTTTCTTGTTTCGTGAAGGCCTTTGCCCCCCCGCGGAAGTTCCCCGCCTGACGGCACCCCGAGCTTTGTCTTCCGGGAACAGACAGTCGAAGGGCAGGGGCTGCCCGCGGGGCCTCACTCCCCACCGGGTGTTGTCGGGAATGATGGAATCTCCCTCTGCGTGATGGTTGGATCCGGGATGGGGTCAACAAAGGGCGGCGGCACGTGAAGCTACTTTCGGTGGTGTATTTGCCACGTTGGATGCCCACCGCAGCGGGGGTGACTTCTGTGGCACCGACGCGCCTGGTACAGCGCTGGAAGATAGCGCCGCGCTGATGAAAAAGTCAAGTACGGTCTGTCTTCTGGTCTGGCGCGGGTGGTAGGGTGTCGGAGGACTAGTCTGAGTGGTAGGGTGCCGGAGGACTAGTCTGAGCTATGCTGATACTACTTCCCGGCCCCCTAAACTTTTCCTACATCCAAGTGATGAAATCACAGCTCCTACACCCAAGTGATGGAATCACAGCCGCGCATCGTTAAGCACGGTTCACTGACATACAGAGCACACACGAGGCCATATCGGCATGAAAAACAGCACCAACCAGAATTGTTTCACGGGCGTGAAAAGCTAGATTGAGGGTAAGCGTACAGCCCTACGGAGTGCCGGGAAGCTTGTCGCCACGTACGACGCAACGGCGCTATTAGTAAACAGCCCACCATCGACGTCTCCACTGACAAATCCAGGTTGGTGGAACAAAGTCTGTTGACTGAAACAAAAAGCACGCTTCCGGAAACAATTCAGACTGCGGTGAGCTTTTGAACCAAGGTTCACCGCAACATAAAAAACTCCACAGTGAACAACGTTATGTGTCCGGCCACAGAAAGGGGAAGTAACCTCGAATAACTAAGAATGTGAACATACCCCCATTGCTCACCGGTCAAGTACAGTCTGGACAGTTCATCGTCACCACGGTCCATCGCATCCGCCGCTTCCACGCTCCGAAACTCTAGGTGGAGATTCTCGGCGCTGGTGATGCAACGGCGTAACAACGCCTCTCGCCTGAGCTTTTTCGCAACCTTAGCCCTCTCTAGCTCTTGTTCTTCCCCCTCTACAGCCTCACGCCCGACAGCAGGTTGGCCCTTGGCTGGTGCCCCTCCTCCTCCGGCCCCGTCAACACAAGACTTTCTCCCTGTTTTCTCGGGCTCACCTCCGACAAGCGTCCCCAAAGCAGCACCCCCTGCACCGGCGCCCTTTCCCGAGGATGGGCACGTATTGACGGCACTTCCAGATGTACCCCGAGGTGGCAACAACGGCGACGATGTGCTGACTCGAGCAGATTGGTCCCCAGGGGCTGGAGGACCACCTGCCACCACTCCCGGTAGAGATGAAGACTCATGGGCGCCTGGAGGAGTTGGCGTTCTCTTCCCTCGACTTAGTACACGACCGGGATGCTGCGTTGGTTGCGTCGACTGTAATGCGGGGACCATAGTAGCTGGAGCAGTAGCCGTAGCAGAAGGCAAGGCGGCGGAGGTGCTCCGGCTGACAACGGCTGAGACGGGTTGCGGCAATGGCCCCGTACCGGCCATTGCAAGCGGTGGTGGCGTCTTCTCGCTCGAAGAACTCAAGCTGGGCTCGAGTCTTTCGCCATTGGCAGACGTTGAGGGGGCAGCATCACCACGCGAGGCCGCCGCGCCGTCCACGTGCTGCTGTTGTGGTAGCATCGCATTACATCGCCCATCGTTACCGGAAGCTACAGTGGGGCGCTGGGCCGCCTGGAAGGCTAAACCCGAACTCATCGCGCCCCCCCACGAGCCACGCCACATGCTAGGCGTTAAAACAGCGCGGATCTGTGCCTCGTATGATGTTGCCTCCGTACAAGTTCCAGGAACGGCCGGCTCCTGGCCGGGATGGTGAAACGGGGCCAGCGGGAATGCCAAGACTGCCGCGGACATGTCGCAAGCCGGCGGCGCTCTTGGTGGTATGCCGGCGAAGCTGGCGCTCGTTGATGATGCTGTTGCGCCGGCCGAACTACACGCCAACTGTCCCGCCCCGTGCGTCGATGCCCACCCTCCAAAAGAAGCGACTTGGGCGCGCGCGTAAGCATGTGCAGCTGCAGTAGCCTCAGCAACGGCCCCCACCACTGTTGGGCGGTGCAGATGGTGTGTCGCTGCGGAGACAGGAAGGTGAGCCCACATGCTCTGTATCCCACGGCTATGACCAAGCTGCGACATCGCTTGAGTCGATGTTACCGCCACATGCCCAGGCGGGTCTGCGTGTGACGGCATTGCCGAGGAAGCCGTCGCCACGGCATTGGCGACATCGCTTGCCGCCATGCTTGCCGCTGAATGTTCTCCAGTACATACCGAGGGGCCGGCGGGTGTTGTGTCCTGCGAATCACTCCCAATAGCTGTTGCTGCTGCCGCTGCTGGTGCTGCCGCGGCTTGCTTCCCCGCTTCAGCAGTTATTGGCACCGCAGCAGTTGCCACAGCTGCTGTTGTCGCCGCAGCTGCTGTTGCCGCCGACGCCGCTGGTGGTGGTCGTTCGGCCTCAGCTGGCGCGACAGCTGCTGCCTCCACTACGTTGTCCTCTTGCCGCTGCACCACTTCTTGCGTTGCCGCAACAGCTTCCGGGGCAGGGTGACGAAGCGAGGCTACATCCGAGTCCACCTGCGACACACCTGACGCCGACTCAACCACGCCATTGGGTGGACTGACACAGTCAGCGATCTTGTTGCGTTTCCCGCTCCCAACGCTGGTCGGCGAAGGAGGTACTGGGTTCTCCGCACCACCCTTTCCCGCTGCGAATCCAGCAGACGACAATACTGGAGCTGCCGACGCGTCCAACGCCGCCTCATCTCTGCTCCGCTTCCGGTTGAGAGCAGCGGTAGCTGGGGGTCCTACCCCTGTCAGCGCTGGCGTTGCTGGGAGGGATGCTATTTCGAGAGAGAGCGATAGTGAAGGGGGGCAAAGGGACACCATCCCGGGCACAGTGGGGGGAATGAAGCAACCTGTCACAGCAACACCATGTTGAGAACTGAACGGTGCATTACAGCAGTACGACACGAGAACACTCACCGGAAAAAACATGTTGGCTTTTTATCACCGATCTTGTTACTGTTGGAGTGCGTATGCTATCTGTTGTAGCGCGGTTGATAAGTCAGGTCGCGGGAGTCATGCAGGCAAGGTGCTAACCATGGGGTATGACGTTTAGCTCAAGTGCCAGACTTTGTTCCAGCCTTAAATATTCGTGGCTCCAAAGTTGCTTGAAGCTGAGCAGGGTGTCAAAAAGTCGTGTCCCAAGCTTTTTTTGGCCCTGTTTCAAGGGGGCATCATTGGCATGGCTGGAATCCCGTCTGAGTCGAAACATTTCCAACCCCCGTCAAACCAAGATTGGACAAGTTGTTGTGCACAGGCCAATTATTCTGCCTGCATAGCCACAACACGGCCTGTGTACACTCGTTTGAGTCCAAGCCTTGTGTGCAAAAACGAGAGCCGGAGAAAGTTAAATGGTCATAAAGTACCAAAAAACACCATCGAAAACACAAGTGAAACGAAGGCAAAGCAGTATTGACTACCAATGCATACCTTGTGCAGCCGTTTGTCCATCTTTGCTGCTCCCGTCTCGCTTCTTCGCCATCCCTACCCCTTCGTCCTGCCGCTTCCCCGGCACTGCTGCAGCCAACGTCACCGTTGCCACTGGACTACATGCTCCCTGTTTGGGGACTACGTCCCCCTTGCTCCAGAGGCATATGCGGCAGGAGCTCCGATCATTGTTGACCAACCCTACACCGCCGCAGCTGGGGCAGACTTGGTTGTCATCCTTCTCCGCCGACCTGGAATGCGACTTCAAAGGGGGAGCTGTTGCTGCCGTTGGCACGGCATCTGCGTTTGCCCCAGTAAGTTCGTTCTGGTTATCAACGGGCCCGGCCACGGCATCTGCGCTTGCCCCTGCGGAACCGTTGTGGTTATCAACGGGCTCGGTTAGACCCGCAGCCGCTGGGAGTGGCGCTGGAGCCGCAACCACGCGACGGTCGAGGCACGATGCTTGCTGGTCAGTGTTCTGCTGCTGCGGCCGCGAATATTGACCAGCGTGCTGCTGGTGAGGCGAAGATGGCGATCGGTCACCGTGCTCAGGTTGTTGCCCCGGACGGCTAGCATCATCCTCCAGCTGCGGCGCTGCTCCTGACGACGGTTGACTGGCGCATGGCGAGGTGGCTACAGCCTGCGCGGAAATGAAAGAAGAGTCAGGATGGGGAGGGTTTGCTCCAGCTTCGCAAAAGACACCGCAGAAATAAACGCACCGAAGACCCACCTGTACCTTCTACAGGAAGCACACGAGGCGTTCCCCGAAACCCCAAGCACAGCATAGGGTGCCGAGAGGGAAGGGGATGACTTGTGAGCCATTCTTAATCTCCACGCCTTGATCGATCACAATATGCACTTCGTTCGTTTGCTACTTTCCTGCAGGCATATCTTCGGTAGCAGCATTCTGCCACACGAAATCGCGCTCGTTTTTCGTGTAGGTTTGAGAAGGAGCACCCAATCAAAGCCGAACCTTTGTGAACGCGCAACAGATACCAAACAAATCGAAAAGCTGCGCGTGGAAAATAGGAACACCTTGGAGCAGTGCCCCGCAATTGTCCAAAACCATACGACGGCGAACGTGCCAAAAACGATTTTTCAAGTCCCCCCGTGTGCCGCATACCGCACCATCAGCCGCGCGTAAGAGATTTTGCGGACAACTTGACATCCCGAGATGCAGTGTGTCTTTTGTGTCTCCAAAGACAGTCAGCAAACACTCAGGGTAATTGCTATGTCCATGTTCGTTCCGGAAACGTCCAGCCACCAAACGAACGTACCTTTGAAGCAGTGGGACCAGTTCCCTGGAATAGCAACTGTTCGGCGCGACTTTCGCCACGCTACTCATGACAGAGGCGGAGCGACAGATGTAAAATAAGGCGCAAGCAAGAGAGTATACATATGGCGAAAAAAATTAAGTCCTTACCTCAGGGGCAGCCTCGCGGTCGTGAATCGCTGGACCTTTCGGGACAGCAAGCGGTTTGTCCCCCTCAGCAAGCTGCGACACGCCACTTGGACTATGTGACAAGCTCGGCCCGGTTGGTGGTTGAGGAAGCGCCCCTGTAAAGGCGGTCGACAGGTCCGAGGCATGCGCAAGCGTTCATCTGCCAGGGCAATTTAAGAACCTCTTCTCAAACGCAACATCACGGTGCGGGGTTTCGTGCTTGAAATATCCAATATACAGCAACACCAACCAACAGCAAAAAAAAATGTGAGATTTGCCGCAAAACGAGGTACTGAAAAAACTGCACCGTACAGCCTCAAAACCTTGGAATTTTGAAGTTACTAAAAAACCAACCTGGTTGTGCTGGTTGCCGCGGTCTCTCCTTCGCCCCTCCACCCTCCGAACCTGCAACCCCCGAATCGGCACCAGCGCTATTGTCAGAGCTGCCGATCTCAGCAACAACCCTCCCAAGAGCATCGCCATCGCGGGAACTCGACCCCATCAGCTTCTCGCGAATCGCCCCATAGTCTTCTTGAAGTTCGTCCCAGCGCTTCGGTTCGATGGAGCTCGACTTCCTGGCAACCGTCAACGCGTCTTGGAGGCGTTCGGCGATGGGCCACAACACCCGCTTCGCCTCGCCCATGTTGTTCCCTGCCCCGACCTTCACCGCGCGATCAAGCAGAGTCAAGGCACGCTTGAAGCCACTCAAGGATTCATCCACCTTCCCGTCTGCTGGTGTTTTCACCACCTCTACGGCCCCATCTCCTGGAGCCGCTTGAGCGCCCTGAGAGCTTGTTCCTTGGCCCGGCGCCACCGGCGACTTGGGTGTCGTCAACGACATGTGCTTCGACGAACTTGATATCGCAGCGAGAACGCTGTCGGCCTTGGTTGCAGCGCTGCTGGGCCCCTCGTGCGCTGCGGGTTCTCCCTCACCAAGCGTCGGCCTTGTCGATGCTTCGACGCTGGATGCTTGCTCCGTACGCGTTTCTCCTGAATTCCCTTCGCCTCGCCGTACGTACCCGACTGCCTCTGATTCTTTCGCGCCCGTGTTGGTGTTGGCAGCCGATACATGAGTAGCAGAGGTCGTTATCACGTCCTCCTGGGAAATTCCAGAGGTGCTCTCTGCAGTAGTAGGCACCGGTGGGGACGCTGCGGCGATTCCAACATGACGCTCAGCGGCAACGATGGAGGAAGCGGGTGTTGGATGATTTGCACCAGGGGCATGTATCCCCAGAACATCATGAATCGAATATGACCTCGATTTCGGCGATTTCATCGTCGCCGTCGCGACGGCGTCCTCGTCGGGTGGTTCGGCAGATTCTGTCGTTGTTGCCATGGTGGGAGGCACCGCAGGCACCATGAGTTCCTTGAGCATCGCGGGATCTGTACCGTGGGCGACCGCTTTCAACGCCAACGCCCTCGACACGTCTTCATTCGACAGCGCGACGTAATTCTCAGCCGGGGTGGTATTACAAGCGCTACACTTGGAGCCCTTTCCACGCAGGAGGGGAATCGAGACGTGCACGGTCAGGTCGGCAAGAAAGCTGAGACCTGACCGTGGAATCAACCGAAGTTCTAGGGGGCCCGGCCCGAGGGGGTCCTTGATAACCCGCCTGTGGGGGCGGTAGGGGAGGACTTCCCCGCACTTCAAAACACACCAAGAGGGACGAAAGGAGCGTGACAGCCGAAAACGAAAGCACGAAGGGGGTCACAACGTGCCGTGTATTCTAGCGAAGAACTGACGCTGCAGGGAAAGCGAACATATGTGGATCTGCAACTGGTGTGCGGATAAGTTCATTTTACTCAACAACGATCAACACAAACAACCACAAAGCCCAAGGCTATTGCTGTGCAAGGCAAAAGAGGCCATTGAGCATGTAGTGCTTCGATCGCAGCGTACAAAAAAAGCGGCACAGACGGCTGCACTTTCATCGCAATGGCTTTCTCATCACATGTGCAGACGATGGCATGTCACCATCCAAGGGCTTGCGCGCAGTGTATACGACAATACCTTGCACGGGGCAGTTGACGGGTGACGAACACCACCAACCATATCACCCCTTAACGATGTACAACAAAAATCAAAGGGAGGTGGTCCTCACGTGTTGAAAGCGTTTCAGTGTATCAATACATAAATACTCCAGCCTGCCACTTCACAATAAAATCCCCACACGAAGGCATCACAATCAACACCCACGAAGGAGCATCGGTTGCGTGGTACTCGCACAATGCACGAAAACAGCCGAAGAATGGACCGTGGCAAGATGTGACCGGTAGTTACACCGATTTCTCTTCGTTTTTTTCTCCTTCGCATGTGGGCAGACGAGCAGCTGCACAGGGAGCGACACGTCGCAAACAACTTCCAGCACAACTGACAGCAGTACGCAATCGAATCCGAACACTAAATTCCATCACAACTGCTGATTCAGCTGTGACGCATGTCGGCTCGCTGCCCTTTGCTCAACCAACTGCAAGAACAACATTTCGAAAGTATTGAGGTACGCACCCCAATGCAACGAGCTTCCCCCGCGGGGAATAGGTTGTCCGGAATGAAGAAGTGCTTGATTTCAATCGGCTGCTCCGAGGGGTCCTTGCACACTCCGCCGCCATTCCAGCGATTGGAAGCCGTCACATATAGCGTGTACCTCCCCGGCTTGCTCAGCGTCGTGAGGAGGTCCACCGGCTTTGCGTCTCGATCCCCAAGCGTTACCATTTTCCCTGGCGGCACCTGCAAGTTTTACGATGGTAGATGATAGATGATAACGCCAAAGAGCAGGCGTCAATTGACGTAAGACCGCAGGTTCGATCATATCCGACAAGATCAAACATCACGACGGGTTGAGGTTAGGCCAAAAATACACACACGAACAGAATGGCTGCTGAACAAGTGGTTATAGAAACGAGCGCCCTGTCACAATGCGGAAACGACGAAACTCTCTAAAAGTCCGGCGCCAAGTACACAGAGGAGAAGCGGAGGCAAGATACTAGATGTTGAATAAGTTCCAATACTCGGGAGACAACAACTAACCAACGCTTGGTGCTGGATGGCTCTGTACTGGTGAACGGCGTGTCCTGCCGCATCCAATACACAGCATGATGCCGCGCGGACGAGGAAATTGAACAGCGCGAAATTCAGGTCGTGACAATCTGTTTTGAGTCACATCTATGAAAAAACGCGCAACCTCATCATCACCACGGCACACATTGGTCCCTGCTCCAATTGAAGGCGACTCGGACACAATTGTAATCGATCCGAAGACTAACAAATGCAACAGGGGGCAACATCCGCGCTTTCGCGAACCAGTTTGCGTTGAAACTCCAGAGACAAGGAACGGAGACCACGTGCAAAACCTCACCTTGTCCTGCGTGGGAGCTGGCCCAATCACCTGCAGGTACAAGTGGCAAGGTTTGTCGAGGGGCCCGTTTCGGTTTTTCGCCGTTGCTGCCGTCGGACGCTTGCGTAAATTCACAGACGCCTCCTGTCCGACGCTCGGCACTTGACCCTGCTTGGCGCTCGCCGGAGTCGCCGCGACCGGAGTCGGAGCATTCTGGACCTTTACTTCGGAAGCGGTGGCTGCTGTATCTTTCGTAGTTGCAGGTGATTCCACCGTAGTTGGTCCTTTCCCGACGTTCGTGGTCGCCGCACATGACCCGTTTACCTCTTGGGTTGTAGCTGCTGTGGCCGCTGGTTCAAATGCTGCCACAGCCAGAGGTGATGGTGTATCGTTCGTGGTTACAGGAGACCCCACTGTATGAAGCCCTGTTCCAACGTTCGTCGCCGGACACGACACCCTTTCATCTCGGGCTGCAGCTGCTGTTGCCGCTGCTGCAACTGCAGCTGCTACCAGAGGTGACGCTCTCGTTGTCCTCATCATCGTTCTGGCGTCCGAGAGAGAGACAACCGCCTTGTCGCTGCCACTGGCCCCCTCACCAGCAAATTGTCCGTGCAACGCCGCTGCACCAGCTTCTTGCCCCATCGAGCGCGTTCCACGCGACCCCTCCTCAACTGAAGTGGTTGCCGCTGTAGCAGGCGGCTTTGCAATCTCTATAGATTTGCCACGCTCCCTAGGCTCGTCAGCACGTTCTGCCGTCGCCGTGCCGCCCGTCCCGCCGAGCTTGTGGCTGGCATCAACTCCAAGACCGGCCTCCGTCAAGCGGCCGCACAACATTCCTTTCGAAGTCGACGCGGCACCGTTACCTGCCAGTTGAACACCATTGGGAAATGATTTTAAGGCTTCCATCCTGGTGGCGTCGCCAACTTTCACCGCGGCATCATCCCCGGCGGGCCCCGTAAAGATTAAGCTTTGGCTTGCAACAGCACCGAGTGCGGCGGCAGGCAGTTCCGATGACCCAGCGGGGCTAGCAACGTGCCCGGCGGCCATCGCCGCTTCCTGATCTCTTTCCTCGGGTACGTTGACTTCTGAGTCTAGACTGGGCTTGGCCAAAGTCTCTGGTGCTTTAGCCGCGGTATGAGCCGTGTCGATTGCGGTCTGCGTACTTGCTTTTGCGGCAAGCAAATCTTTTGGGTTGCTGGTGGCCTCGTCTCCGGTTTCATTTTCTACCCCCAGAGTGCCATCAGAAGGGGCGGCGCCAGCAATGCGTTTCGCAGCGTTATCGCCACGTCCATTGACAGCAGAAACAACGCCAACATCAGAAACGCCAGGGATGGGAGTAGAAGACCCAGCAGCGCGTGCAGCGGTAAGAGCCGAATAAACTGCGTCAGTCCGGGAAGGTATTGGCGGGTTGCCGACTTCGTTGACCACAGCCTTTGCGGCACGCTTGGGTGAAACTCCTGGTGGCTTCCACGTTGAACAGTCGGGCAAATCCTCCCCCTCGGGAGTCCCGGTCGATGGTGGAGGCGACCTTGACCCTATTGATGGTGGAAGCGACCTTGCGTCGTTCTCACTGCCGTTGCTGCTTTCGAGGGGCACACGGTCAGGACCCGATTCAGGGCCAAGTTCGGGACTGCAATCGGGGCCAAACTCAGGAGCGAGTGCAGAATCAACGTCGGATCCGCCGGTCCCTCCACCATTCTCTGAAGCAGTAAGAGTTTTATCCGTCTCTCTGCAAGAACCTCCTCCGGCCACCGCCGCCCCCGAAACGGCGGCTTGGCTATCGCCACCGTTGCTGGAAGAGGCAAGCTCACCGGAATGGACTTCTTCCACTGTTCTGCCCACCACTGGTGAAGAATCCATCGTCACTGGTATATCTGTCGCGGAAATCTCACTGTCGAAGCTGAGGTCAATTGCAGAAGATGCGCCTCCACCCGGACTCTCCCCCGCGGGAGGTGCTTCAATCACTGCTACTGTTGAATTGCCAGAATCGTTGTTGGCGGAGCCTGGGTTCCGGGGCGGCACATTCCTGCTACGGGTCGGGGTGAAGTTCGCGAAACGTGCGTCTTGCGTAGAGCACAGGACATCCGAAGATGAACAATCGCTATCCTCCTCGAGGAGGGTCGACGATCTATTCGAAGCGGCTGCCAACGTTCCCGCACCAGATGCTGCAGGTGACTCGGTCGTTTCGGGCCCTGTGAGATCTATTGCTGCGTCATCTCTCTCTGAAGTCATGTCTACCACACCACCTCCTGGCGGCGAAGTGTGTGACGACGCCATTCCCATTCAAATTGGAACGATGGTCCAGCGGTGGGCGTATCTCGAAATATGGAATGAACCTGTTGAGAGCACAAACGAGGAGTGGAAAAGGGCGGGGGGGGCTCGAGGCTTTCGCTGTCAAACGCTACATGCCAAGGTTGACTACGGAATCACCGGCAACTACTTACGCACAACCAAAGTTGGACCAAGAAGGCAGTATAGGCGAGGAAAACGTTTACCGCCCTGACTTGAAATAACTCTATTTCTGAAACAACAGCACGGCTGGTGACAGCGTCACAGCACGGGCCACCTCGAGAGAGATAATTGTCACGAGATAACCCCAAGCTGGCTCTCGTGAAAATAAAACATGCCCGACGTTTGTACAGTTGGCCGTCCTCGGGGGCAAAAGTTGCGAATAGGTGCCCGTGGACAGCAGCCTTGTGGACAACTCAATAAAGAAGCAAGGGAGCATTGTGAAAACGCCGAAAGTCTGGGGCTCCCGGCGTGCCTCGACGGGTGAACGAAAAGGAGCGAGATGTGATCACCACAGTCTATCACCAACCACAGAGTTCATGATGTCCTTCAGTGTTCGAAAAAGAAAGACTGGGCCGGTTTCTCAAGAGAACCAGGCAATCTAGTCTGTTGCGAACCAAAGTTTCATAGTCCTCGGGCGCAGAGCATGGAGGCTGCTTACACTTCTTGCAAAATCAATATTTTTCCTCCGGTCGGCATGTCAGACCGCACCTGACCGGAACGTTTGGACCCTGACGCCACGTTCAGGCTTGACTTCAAGACCAAAATACTCACTAGTACTCATTGAGAGGGTAAAACTATTCCTCCTCGGGCCACTCTTCCGGCCGCAAATTCTGGTGGCGCCAAGTGTGGATAACGAGTATTTCTATCCGGAGCCAAACAGAAACAAAGTCGGTGCAATATGGCCTCTACTTACACACACAACGTGGACCCACTTTACACGTACTCCCAAATATTAAACCATCCTTCGTCGAACTCCGATCGAAATTTAGAGAGAACGACAAATCGAGAGGGTTGTCGCGTATCGATGTCTACGTGACTGGCGTTGAAAACATATGTGTGTGCTGCTGGTGTGCGCTGTTGCTCCCCAACGCCTACCGAATCTCACATCCACACACACCACGAGCAAAGTGGCTTATCTTCGTTCCAATATGTCGCGCCTTTGGAACACACATGCGTGTTGTTCACATTTGCTTTGCGCGTCACAAGCGGGTTGTTCGCGTTTTGTTTGGCCAAGTCATCACAGGAGGAGTATCTGGCATCTTCCAAAATGGAGGCTTCAGAAAAAGTGAGCTACTCGGCTTGTTGTGCCGCGTGGTAGCACCTCCCTTCAAAATATTTTTCTTCTCATTCGACAATAACAAACATAGATGATCATTTTGCGTACATTCCTGTCACTAATCTCTATCCATAGATGCTCCTAATGCGAAGATGCTTACCGAGTGGACAGATCAACCTCTAGACTATTCAAGTGGACAGACCTGCTGTCTTCGTTCAGACGCATTGACGACACATCCCGTAGACGACACAAGATGCCACACCCCGGTGGTAACATTTTGGGATTCAAAAAAATCATGGCCGGATGTGGTATCCTGTGGCGTGTGTGGTATCTTGTGTAACCCGGGCGATAAAGTGCAGCTCGCAGGGGCCCCTACGGGGTGTGATAACAGTCCGAACAGCCACAGGGTCTGTTTGGGGGTGTCATAATGAGGGGGTGTGACAAAAGAGGGGAGGTGATAACACTGCTTGTAGAATTGAACCGCTGCTGCCGCACACTTGAAGGGGGTGTGGCTGCTGGTGGTGAGGCGATGCGGTGGCTGTCATGTTGGCGCCTGTTGCTGGGCCAGCTGCTGCTGTGGTTAGATCATCAGCAGCAGGAGGACGAGCCGGGGGAGAGCCGCTTGCGTACAAGAAGTGTGCTCACTCGCGTTGAAAGAACGAGGTGCTCTGTGGCGCTTGTACTGCTACGGTCGAAGCAGTTGTGGAAGAAGCGGAGGCACTTGCGGCGGCATTCTGCTCTCCCTGGACGTTCATGTTGTTGGAGGCCTCCGTGCGGGGTGTTTCCCCGCACGCAGATGTGTGCGTGTGCGATGCCCACGGGGCAGATGTTGTATCACGCCGATTTACAAGGAGGGGCCCCGTGAATGATTGCGGCGTAACCTAAGCGGGTGTGTTGCCTTGTGCAGCCCGGGTGATAAGGCCAGTTGTATTTTTTCCGTTTGGAATCCGGGGGACCGACAGATAATGCTTCACCACCCAAAAAGCAGGAGGTCTGCGTACTGGATAGCGGGCAGAGCGCACCGAGGCGCCTCGTCATGGTCCTCGCCTCACAGACCCCTGTTTGTTATCAACCGATAAGGCTTTACACTCCACTACTGTGAGCTTCTCCGGGCCAAGTTTGGGCTGCTAGAGTGCACTGTGCGCAGAGTATGCCGTTGATATGAGTGCAAATTCACCATTTCCAGTTTGGAATGTCAAGCACGTCCAGCTGGGAATTCATGAGGAATTCCAAGCAGGATCGTCCAGCATTTCCAAATTGGAATTGCGATTTTGCCCAGCATAATATACGCACACTGCACCCCAGCCCCCCAAACTTCGCTCGAAGAGGCTCACAGCAATGCACTGCGCGACTTCGAAGGTTTGAATGTCAATGGGTCTCTGTGAGGCGAGTACTGAGTGCCAAAGCGCGTTTGTGTGTGTTTTCCAACGAAGCACGCAGAACTCCTGCGGCCTCATGTGGGTTTGGATGTGACAAGCGTAAAATCAGGATTCCAAATCGGAACATTTTCCATAAGGGCCGTTCCAATCTGCCAAAACAAAACGGAAAAAAACAAGGTTCCGTGTTTTCTCGGAAGTATATGGAGGCGTTTTTCTCCCGATCCGGGAAAGGAGGGAGCAGGGTTTTTTTGGGGGCTTGCTCCTTTCACGGATCCGGGAATTTGACACAAGGGTCGGGCAGGCGCACCGCAGTCACTGTAACATCACTGAGAACGCTAGCAAGACCTGCCAGACTCACGTCCAGATCTATTGCGGAGATGGACAAGCGGCAGAAGCCGCGTTCAGTCCGTTCTTCGTCCAAAACGAGAAATTGCGTGGTGCCCTCGTCTTACCTGCTGCTGTGGGTGCTGGAGTTTTTTGTTATGTCACACACAACAAACACAGAAACAGTAAAACGAGAATATCGGCAGCACCAAGACCTCCAACGCGCTAATTCCTTTGGTTCGGGTGTCTATATGATACTCACTCCCGGCGCCGTGCTGCTTCGTGGGTAATGGGGGCTTGAGTACTGCTCAAGAAGGCGTATGCGAGATGTGTGCCACCTCGCCAAACTACCGTTTGAAAAAATGCGGCGAGATGGTGTGTTCTTGGTCCGAGACAGCAACATCAATCCACGGCACCAGGCCGCAGTAGAGCAACAGGGCCTCCGACACGCTACTTCTTTCGGATTGGTCATCTGTATGATGCTGGCCGTCAGCGCCGCTGCCGACCTATGATTGTTGAGCTCGTCTATCTTTCGACTCGTGGTGTTCAAAGAAGGGGGTCGCAACGGTGAAAAATGAGCCGGCTAGCCAAGGCTACCATAAGAAATCGCAAGCAACGCCCAGGGTGCGACACTCTACCCTCACCTGTTGCTGAAAACAGCAGTTCGGGTGGACGGGGTCTTTCCAAGTCTGCTGTCCTTTGTGTCGGGTGCTGCTCTTTGTGCTTTTACCGTTGCTCTCTGGCGAGCAAAACCAAGTCAACCTGTTGTATGTCGAGCAAAGCGTGTGTATTCAGCGAAGGAAACGTACTTTTTGCGATGACATTACGAATCACCAATAGAACAAAGGATTTTGCCGGAAACGATTCAGGGAAAAAAGAGCCTGTCCCGGAAAAAAAAAACGTTTTTTGCTTGCTGATTGGAACGGCCCTAACACTTGGCCTAAATCCAGGGTTTGTCAGAAAAGTCCAAAATACAAGGGCGGTGGACGCGGGGGGCTACCGCCCCCCTCGTCCCCTGTTTGAGAGCGGATGTGCATACGAAACGAACGGTGACCTTTGAAACACATACCAAGTGGGACGGTGGTTCGCTACAGCCGAAAAGAAGATAGAGGTTCAAGTCGAGAGAAGCATGCGTCATCATGCTCTCCTCATTATACACTTACTATACCGGCTTCTTCTTTCTTTCCCTGAAACAAAACTGACTGCAACAATAATTACTTGTTGAACAACGTTGAAGCTTGATTGGCGCACACCCTTGCTGTATATATGTCTGTGTGCACCTGTCTGTCATTCTTTATTATTATAGCATCGACCGCGCTAACCGGCTGACAAATGCAAAGATGTCAGTCTGAAACATTTTATGTTTTCCACCGCACTGAGATCTCAGTGCGGTGGAGAACATACAATAAATGCTTCATCAGTAGTCCACAATCTGGGACCCTGTGACCGAGTGTCATGGGGGAGTCTACGCTGCTACTCTCCTTAAAGACAGCAACATACAGGATAGTTTAATGTTTTGCACACATACACACACACCGTGTCGTCCTCCAGACTTCATATGATACAACAGAGAGATCCAGCACAAAGAGCACAGAGTCAGAGCTGATGAGAAACAAACATGAGCGAGATGCATGTGTGTGATGTAATCCGAGTTCCGGGAGAGCCGTTTTTTTCTGTCACAATGAATGCCGTAAGTTGCCGCGTCTTCCGTCTTCTCATATGTTTTTGCGGAAGAAATGTTTGCCCGCGACCGCACGCGCATTCATCATGGTACAACACCATAGGTAGGGTAAAAACAGTCCACACGACACACTCCTCATGCCCCATCGCTTAAGTAAGTGCACGGAAGTTAGGCACATGGGGATGTACTGCATGTGCATGTTACCTGCTAGATACACGATCCGCGATATATACATGCAAGAACGTGCGTCACGTGCACCCGGTTGTCATTTCTAAAACATTCATGTTCGTTCCGAGATAAGTTGAAGTTAACAAAAACACCGACAGCATGTTGACAGAAGGAAAGAACACACGTACGGCTGTCTGTATTCTTTGAGGTCAACAGCTTGCCGCACGCGCAATCCCGGCAGCATCGCGCAGCTGCAGAAAGAAGCATCGCGCAGCTGCAGAAAAAAATGCCGGCAGCGCCACTCACAGCAAAGTTGCATCCATCCCTGAACGCGCCATGCCTAAAGCGGTCACACAACAACCTATTGCCGCATGTACAAAAAATGCGTGTTGTAGTGCACAATGCACAACAGCAACAACACACCAACACACCACACGTCACAAGTTCTCAAAGGTTAGGGTTAGGATCGCTGATTCTTTGATTGGAGCGACAGTCCCGAGCGGAGGGGTCCGAGGTATAGAGGAAAGGTGCGACGACGTGGTTTTGAGCCGTCCCGCCGGCGCTTTCAGCTCGCCCGTCGCTGGTCGCCCGGAGCCCCGAGCGGTTGCGTCTCGCTGAGAGAGGGCGTCCCGCGGAGAGGGAGGGCGAGCGGCGGCCCGTGCGTCGCGGTCCGCGATTCGACGCTATGGTACCGGGTTGAGAGTAGGCGCAATCCCGCCGCTTCTCTCGGAGGGGCCGCTGCGAGGCCTGCGGTGCGCCCTCAGCCTGAGCTAAAATTCCTTACCTCTATCACCGAGTATCGTTGTGCAACTGCTGTCCTATTCTGTGGGGGGGGGGGGGGGGGGGGGGGGGACCCTTTTTTTTTTGGGGCCTTAAGGGGTAAAACCTTTGCCCCCCCCCCCCCAGAGGGGGGGGAATTTTTCCCCCAGGGCCCAACCCCCGGGGGCAAACTTTCCTTCCCATTTTTCCCAAGGGGGGCCAAAAAAGGTTTCCCCAATTTTTTTTTTCCACCCAGGTCCCTTCCCCCCTTTTTAAAACACTTTTTTACCCCCCAAACCCCCCCCCCCCCCCCCCCTTTTTTTCCGGGCCCAAAAAATCCCCGGGAAGTCCCTTTTTTTTTTTCCCCCCCAAATTGGGAAACTTTCCCCCCCCCTTTTAAACCAGAAAATTTCCGGATTTTTGTGGGGGGGGGGTTTTTTTTTGGGGCCTCA